TTTGGCGCATCGAAATCGGAGGCAAATGGAACCAAAGATGAAGATACAGACAAACCAGCACCAGACCAAGGCACTCCTGAGGACAGCACGCCTGAGACGACTAGATTACAGCTACAAGCTTCGGTCAATGGTCGTTTTGGAAAACCAGTCCAGAACGTCAAATTATTCATTCCATCTACAGGAGAAGAACTTGAGAGACAAGTAGGCTTTTTTTATGATTTTAATTCTAATTTTTTAAACGCACTCACTGACAGTCACAGGTACGACAACCCTTAACCATTCGTAACGCGAATGTCAATTTTGGAGCTACATTAGCACACGTCATCAGCAACGACCCTCTCAAACGAGGTATCCTTAAAGGGCCCCTATTATCCTTCCTCGGTGGGGCGGTAGTGAACATTAATACCCTTATTTTCCCGCAACCACTTGTTCAAGCAAGCATCACCAAAGCTGTAACTCTGGTGGAAGGCACTAGGCCATTTTCCCTCACCGTGAAATCTACATGCGTCTCCTCTCCATTGCGACACCCTCCCGACCTGACTCTATCAATATCACGTATGATAGGCACTGGAGGGGTAGTTACCGGTAACTGGTCACCCGGGTCGCTGTCATGGCCAGAATTCCTTCAGAATGTGTTCATGGATGTTAGCAAACGCGACCCGTATGCAGAAGCGTTGCGGCCATATTCGATGAGTGGTGTTTCGATCGGATACACAAGCTTACCAAGAATGCAGCTACCTACGGACCCCCGTGCTGACGATCACGATATGGATGAAGATGATGCAGATATTTTTTCAGACCATGACAATGACTCAACCAAGCAGCTCCAGCAGCCGCCCAAACCCAATGAAACATGGGGCTTCAGCCTCGGGTCGTCGCTAGAAGGCATGAACTTAACCGTGCAATATGAGCGGACTATCTTCGCGCGGAAGCCGGCGGAACCCTTGCGTTCCGAATGGAGTGGCGAGGGCTATTATCCTAGCAAAACCCGGAGTGGCAGCGGCGCCATACGGCTAGGATTGCGCGCGGTGATAGACGCCAACCTCAGCTTGGGCTGGTCCGTTTCTGGCTCGCGGAGAGTTGGTGAATTCACCCGTGTGGGATTAACCATCTCCACAATAGGGAACATGGGCCTTGGTTGTAGCGTCTCATGGAGTAGATTGGGACAGACTTTCAAATTACCTATAGCTTTATGTCCTGTGGACAAACTTACTAGTGACCTATGCATGTTGGTGGTCATAGTGCCATTCACAGTATATGGAGCGATTGAATTTGGATATCTGCGTCCCAGAGCGCAGCGGAGAGAAAGGCAGGAAATCGCAAGGTTGCGAAAGCGACTTTCGAAACGAGTTGCGAAGCGTAAAGCTGAAAGTGCGCAGGCAATTTCTATGATGAGGGATCAAGTTTTGCGAAGACAAGATCGGGAAGCCGATCGAGACGGGTTGGTCATTGTTCACGCCGAATATGGATGTCCGCCATCTCGTTCTTCAAAAAAGAACAAACAAAACGGGCCCATTATAGTCGACGACGATTACGCGGAGGGCATGATAGACGTCACGATTCCGGTCGCTGCACTGGTTGACCAGGGACAGTTGAATATATCCCCTCGAGTCATTAAGGTCTAATTCCCCTACACCGCCCCCAAAATTCGACTCCTTTACCTACTCAATCAGGCAGACATGACAAACATAAAAAATACTAATATATTATTACCCTTTGCAGTCACAAATTCTCGGATTCTATGATCCGTTCCCACTCCGCCCGAAATTGCTGCGGGTGCGGTATCGGTTCTCCGGCAGGGAGCATCTAGTTGAAGCCTGGGACTCTGAAGGAATAATATGCCCGATGAAGTCACACCTACTGTGATTTTCTAAGTGTTCATATGGTTAGCGCAGCAACACCAAAAAAGACTCCTAACTTGTCGCTCGTGCCATGACTTTACTGTTTTTTCTCTTTCCCTTGCCGTTTTCCTGCCCCGCCCAACACGTTAAGTCAAAAGCTGACTGTTTCCGGCCTTGTTAGATGCTGTGTATGCACGGGCTTTCAAGTGACTTTTTGAAAACTTGCTCTTTCTTTTGCGTGAACAATTCTTATGGCAGCACCAGCCATGAGAAATCCTCCTCCTTTCGTCGTTTTATTTCTATATTATAGTATACTTCATGGATATCAGGCATGAGTTTCTGTGGCGCCTTGCGTTCAATCTAGTGCCCTTCTTTTTTTCTTTTTTTCGTTTCTTCTTCTTTTCTTTTCTTTTCTTTTCTTTTCTTTCTTTTTTTTGGTATCTCATCTTTGGCGGGGACGATTGAGATAAGACTTTGTGCATACATATTTCCCCCTCTTGCCAAGACACTTCCAAAAGCATTAGCATATTTTCTTTGTCTCGAATTTTATTTTTAACTCCTCACACGGCATCAGTCTAAGGTCGGTTATTTTATTTTTGAATTTTGAATTTTTCTCCTCTAAAGGGACGTTACATGTTTTAGATGTACTCTCTATATTTTTACTGCATATATTTCTTTGACAAGCAAAAATCGCCTCGTCCTTTTTTGGCCCCTCTTTACTCGAATTTGTCTGATGGGTACACATTTATGACAGGAGAATTGTTGTATAAACACGAAACACGAAGATGTTGAAAGAGAAACAAGAAAAGAGCGAAAATTCCGGGATATCGCGTACCATAGCGCGCCGCCCCGGTCAAAGTTTTTCTTGTCGTCACTAAAAGCAAGCCAAATTGCAAGGATGACTCTTCTGGTCTTTGTTGCGCTCATTTTTCCTTATTTGTTTCCCGCAACTTCCGTCTCCTCCCATATCCCACCACTCGAGGCGGTAAAGCAGCCTTTGTTTTTCTCTCAACGAGAAGACAACAAGAAGAAATTCTTTTTTTTTTTTTTTTTTTTTTTTTTTTTGTCAAGGGTAAATAGGACACATTAAACCCAATGCAACTTCTCGGGCATCCGTGCAACGTCCAATGGCCTTTCGCCGTGAGCCTGTTGGCTCTGTTGGCCCTTGTTGTGGGTGATGTTGGGTTGGTATATAGCTCATCCTGATAGGTTCCACAAGAGCCCAGAGCAGCAACAAGGAACAAGCAACAAACAACAACGACGACGACGACGACGATGACAATGAGAGCTAGAAACGACCAACAACCCAAACTCTCTCACATTCATCATACCGCCTTTTTGTTCTCCCAGAAAGACCTTATCATTATGATTATTATCCCGGGCAATCCCTGGGCTGGGGCGGCAATCATGTAAATAACGGGTATGTATGTTGGTTGATATTCTCGTCTGTGTGGGCCCTTCTTCCCACTCCTCCGCCTCCCGGGTGGCAGGATTGATTTGAGGTATCAAAGCGAGAGCTGGTGGATAGAAAGCAAGAATAAGAAGAAGAAAAGAATGAGACGGGATGATGGCAAAATGGAAGTCTGCAGGACGGTGATATCCGGCTATTTATATATACATATTTATAAGTATGTATAGGCATATATATACATCGTTATACACGATACAGAGCCGCAGCCTGATATACATAGCTGCTGCATGTTGCACACGAGATCCCATTCTTATCTCCCTCAGTCAGTCATCCATTGACCCAAGCATAGCCCTATCCATCCCAACACACTCTCAGCCAGTTCAGTGAATTGACTCTTCCCTCTACCTTCTTTTTCCTCGAACAACCCTTTATCCCCCTCCTATCTCCATCAACCGCCCTCCACCACTCCAATTTTTTGTAAACTGATCATCCCCTTGCCTGATCAAACTTTTTTTCTCTCGTCTCCCGCCTCCTACCCTCCCTCTCTTCTTTACTTTTTCTATATTCCATTTTCATCTTTCTCCCGCTCTCTCTCTCTCTCTCTCTCTCTCTCTCTCTCACACACACACACACACACACACACACACATATATCTACTACTTACTCACAGACATACCATACCATACCATACCTACCACCGCGCCATCCCCGGCCAATAGCTATCCCATTATATCTCGCAGCCCAACGATTGCTCAATGATGTGTATGTGGTGGGGCACGCCGTACAAGGCGTATGTGATCGAGGACGTGCCCAAGAAGAAGAAGAAGGACGAGGAGGAGGAGAATGGCAATGCGCAGTTTATCATGGTCAATCCTGGGGATCAGTTTGTGCCTATTGGACCGGTGAGTAGATGAATGAATTTTTTGAATTGATTATTGATTCCACTGCTGGCTGGGTTGTATATTTATTTCATTGAACTTCGATATGTAACATGGTTGGATTGTCCTGTACCTATGTATTGTATGTGTGTGGATGTGATATTGCGGTGTGCCTTAGGTTCTCATTTCTCTCATTCTTTTCTTTTCTTTTCTTTTCTTTTCTTTTTCTTTTTCTTTTTCTTCTTTCTTTTCTTCTTGTCTTCCTTCTTCTCCCCTCTTCTTGGTCTATCTCAATTCTCACTCTTCGCCATTCACTTGACTCGTCTCATTCTGCTTCCCTGCCTCACTCACTTCTCCTTTCTTCCTCTCCCCCCTCCACCTATTACTACTGTATCACACTGTCTCCCTGTGTTCTCCCCTTTCTTCCCATCATCAACCTTCTTCACCGTCTTTCATCGCTATCACCCTTTATCTCCCCCTTCTCATCCCTACACGCTTCCTGGACAAAACAAACAACACACTGTACCACACCACCACACCACCACACCACCACACCACCACATCGTCCACCTTCCCCTCCTCCCGGTCACCATGGCGTTCTTCCTAGCTCCCATCCAGCAGCAGCAACAACAGCAGCAACAACAACAACACCCTCAGCCCACCGTCTTCCGGTATATCCCCATGCAGAATCCCGCCCATCCACAACATGCCGCTCTGCAAGCCTCCAACCCCTATCCCGGCCATGTCGTCGAAAACCACAACCCGCCGCCGGCAAATAACAACGGTCCCCCAGCTCCCGCCCCCGTTGTAGCGCCTCATATCGAGTCGGTTTCAGCCCCCGCCCCCGCTGCGAACAATGCTCCCGCGGCGCCGAACCAGGCTGTCATGGTCGCTGTTGTTCCCCCCTTTCATTATCAGTCTCCTGCCCCTGCCCCTGCCCCTGCCCCTGCCCCTTCTCCTTCTCCTTACTATTACTATTATAACTATTATACCTATTACTATTATTGACCGATTGTTTTTCTAATTCCTTGTATGACATCTGGTTTGCTTTCTTTATTTGTTTGCTTGTGTTCATTCGGGTCTTCCGCGTTCTCTTATTTTCCCTTGCAAACAAGCACAGCATAATCTCCAGTTTTCTGTCCTATTTATTTACAGTTTCACCTTTTCTTCTACTCCCCTTAAAAAAACACAAACCACACGCGCAAAACACCAATCCACATACACTCACACACTCACGCACAAGCTAACCCATCTCCACCCCAACCAGCATGGACAAATCGCCGTGGGCCCACAGCCACAGCAGGCCTTCGTGCCCCAACAAGCTCAAAACTGGTTTGGATGGCCAGCCCCCGCCGTCGTCCCTGTCCAGCAACAGCAGCAGCAGCCCCAGGCATGGTTTGCCCCGAACCCCCAGCAGCTCCATGCACAGAACGTAGCCGCTGCACAGGCCAATGGAGCCAATATCCCCCGCCAGCTGGTCCCATACAACCCACCCGCCGGCCAGGCTCTGTGGGTGCACAACCTTGATGGATCCTGGTCTCTCCGCTCCGTCACTGATATCCATAATAAGTTGAATGGCCAGTGGATTAAGTCGAAGCAGGGATATCCGTATTTTCAGGTTCAGGCTAAGCCTGGGTCTTAGATGGGACTGCGGGCCTATGGGAGGGAAGCTCATGTGTGGTATTTTTGTTTCTTTTTCTTTTTTTCTTTTTTTTTTTTCTTTCATATCCTACCTTTGGGTTGGTATGCTCGATGATGGTTCTAGGTATGAAATTTTTCCAAGTTATCTCTTCATATTAGTCCACTCTCCCCTTTTTTTAATTCTCAACGTTTACGTCTCCACCCATATTCGGATTTTAAACATCAAATTCTAACGCATCAAACTACCAGGAGGTCCCGTTGACCTGCCATAGCTACATGTTCTTCGCTGGATACATCCACCATCCCATCCCACTAAATCCTCCTACTTTTCGACTCCGACAATGGCATAATAAATGCCCATGAGCGGACGCTTCAAACACAAGGGACCAGGGACCATCGCCAAGAATCTTTTACATCCTACACAAACAACCGCCACGAACCATCAACTTCAAAAGACGAAAAAAAAATTACAAACCAACCAAGTCCCCCTCGCCCACGACACTTCCTCTACGAAGCATTAATGAAGTAACGAACGATTAAACGCGCTCAATTCATTTACATGCATTGAGTTTTCTCTTTTTTTCCCCCTTCTTGCCTTTTGACTCCACCCATCGCACGCTTTGCTTGATACTAGCGTCGACACTCTAAGCATCGAGGTACGAGGGAGAGTGTGCGGGGTAGTAATAACTGTGAACAGGTTAAGGGTCAACGGTTGCGGCAGAGGAGAGGGGTAGGGATGGGACGAGATTTACTGAATGTGATTTGCATTTTTTATTTTTCTTCTTTTTTACTACTATTCCATAGCACTGCCTTGCCCCTTTACTTTTCCTGCAAACTCTATCATGTTTTTTTCTTTCTTTTTTTTCTTTCCCCATCGTTTTGCATTTCTCTAGTTTTCTTTCCCTTGCTGTATTCACTTAGCTATTCTCATTATGTTCCAATGATTTCTGCTTTTTAAATCCTACCCCGTCCGTTTTTACCCCCTGCTCTTCGCCCTCCCCCCCGGAACAATCCACCTGGGATGACACACTGCATCCAACGCAAATGGGACAGAACATTGACGATTTTCGGTGACATGCTATAATACATACACTCCAATGAAACAATGCAAAGGCAAAGGCGCAGAGGGGCGTACTTGTCGTTTTTATTAGCGCGGCCAGAAAAAAAAAATTCTCGTTCCTCTTATTTGCTAGGTTAGTTTCAAGGCAAGGCACCGGTAGGTAGTTAGTTTCGATTAGAGAGGGAGAGAGATAGAGATAGCAATGTAATGCAATGAATTATTGAATTATTTATTTTCTTTTTTCCTTTTTTCGTGTGGCTATTAATGAGGGGTATCTTTCAGCACATCTCTCGAAAATTGGCTCCGAGAGCAGCGCCAAACAACTCAAGGACTCTCCAGAAAACCACGGTCACCAACTATTCGCCCTAAGATGCTTTGATGTGGTTTTTGTTTTGTAAGAGACGTTTGTCACTTAGAAGAGAAAGATGCGTTTTTCTCTCAGTTGAACACCTCTTCAGCCTTAGATTTTGTTTTACTTTAGCTATAGACAGGGAGAGTGAATGACTTGTCCAGCCTCATCACATTTTTTACATGTATAGTGGCTGGATCAAGTCTCAAAAATTTAACAGAAAAATAGACGATTATTTTATAAACGCGGCAACGCGGCTAATTTATCAACTACGTCATATCGCGCTTATTTTTAATTTTTTCTCACTTAGTCATCTGAATACGGTAGCCAAAATACTCCAACTACGTCAAAAGTCATCTCGACCTCAAACTTCAATCTCGAAGAACCTGCTCTGGACAACGAGCTTCCCTTTCTCTCCAACAGCTCTTATTCGGGTTATTACAATTCAAACTATTTACCATGGCGACATCGATTGCCCAGGGACTCTTCAAATCCCTGCCAAAACCAAAATACACAGGCGAAGACGAAGAACTGCCGATACATGCCCAGCCCAAAGGCCCGCGAATCATAGGAGCTAGTGCTATTAACGAGTCGCAAGTTGTTTTAAAGGTAAGTTTACATCTATATTATGTTATTTCTCTTACGATATTTGCTGATTTTCTCTTCCCATCTTGTAATAGACAGTTGGCCCACCTCCGTATGGCAAACGCGCAGGATGGCGACCTCGAAACCCCGAAGACTTTGCTGACGGTGGCGCGTTCCCCGAAATCCCAGTCGCTCAATACCCCCTCGATATGGGGCGGAAAGGCACTTCATCAACATCAAATGCTTTAGCTGTCCAAGTTGATGCAGAAGGGAAAGTTAAGTACGATGCTATCGCAAAACAGGGCCATGGCGAAAATCGGATTGTACACGCCTCCTTTAAAGACCTAATACCACTCCGCCAACGTGTCGATATGGGCGAAATATCGCTAGCTCGCCCATCACAGGAAGAGGTAGCGGAGCAGATGGAAAAGACCAAAGCTGCGCTGGCAAAATTGGTGACTGGGGCTGTTGCGGCGCAGAAGCCGAAAAACGTGAAGGGTGGGAAGCGGAGCGAGCCCACTTTCGTGAGGTATACGCCTGCAAATCAGATGGGTGATACAAGTCAGAAGAATGATAGAATTATGAAGATTGTGGAGAGACAAGTCGATCCCATGGAACCGCCGAAATTCAAGCATAAGAAGATTCCTCGCGGCCCTCCCTCGCCGCCACCCCCAGTCATGCACTCACCTCCCCGGAAACTTACTGCAGAAGACCAAGAAGCGTGGAGGATTCCGCCGCCTGTTTCGAACTGGAAGAACCCAAGAGGCTATACTGTTCCGTTGGATAAGCGATTGGCAGCTGATGGTCGGGGCTTACAAGATGTTTCTATCAATGACAAATTTGCCCAGTTTGCCGAAGCGCTCTTTACGGCTGACCGCCATGCTAGAGAGGAAGTGAAACAGAGAGCGCAAATGCAGCAGAAATTAGCAGAGAAGGAGAAGGCACAGAAAGAGGAACATCTTCGTCAACTAGCTCAAAAGGCACGCGAAGCAAGGTCGGGCGGTACAAGTCGCCAGGAATCTCGAGCTCGAACACGTTCACGATCTGCCAGCGGTAGTCGGAGCCCATCTCCATATTCATCCCGTTCTGCCACACCCAGCGAAGATGAAGAAGCAGCCCGAGAACGCGAACGACGGCGTCGGCAACAGAGACAAGAAGATGAGCGCCAACTTCGTCAATCGCGTATGGGTACTGAGCGGCGGATCCAGATGATGGCGCGAGAACAAAACCGTGACATCTCCGAGAAGGTCGCGCTTGGCCTTGCAAAGCCAACTCAGAGCAAAGAGACGATGTACGATTCCCGACTTTTCAACCAGTCGAGCGGATTCGATAGTGGATTTAATGAAGACCAGCCCTACGACAAGCCCCTGTTCGCTGCGCAGGATGCCATTAATAGCATTTACCGTCCTCGAGCGCAGGCAGACGATTTCGATGATGAGGAGGCAGCGGGCGCTGAGATGAGTCGAATCGAGCGCAATAGCCGATTCGAAGTCCTGGGCCGCGCCAAGCAGGGCTTCAAAGGTGCGGCAGATGCGGAGGTAAGATGTGCAACTCTTTTTTTTTTTCCCCGATCCCTACATCCTCATATGAATATTTTGGAACATGCCTACAACCGATTACATGACTAACAAGATACTCTATCTCCTCTCTCATAGGCTCGAGATGGACCTGTTCAATTCGAAAAAGACACCTCAGACCCATTCGGCATCGACGGCATGATTGCTGAAGTTACCGGTGCAGGCGGAAGTGGACAGAAGAGATACGGCATTCAAGAAGCTGAAGGGGCCAACGAGCGCGGATCGAAACGCGCCCGTGTGGACGATGATGATGACGACGACGATCATGATCGGGGGAGATAGTTAAAATGAAAGTCTCCATTTTTACAACAGCCCCTCTTATTTTACTCCCCATAATTTCTCTTTTCCCCCATGTATTCACGGTACGGGCTTCTTGCCTATTTTGCGGTGTACGATGATAGAAATCTGCTCATATCGCTGGCGTATTACTCCCCCTTTTGTTTCAAGTTGCCGAATTTTGGTCTGGATTTCATCTTATTCTTTTCTTTTCTTTTCTTTTTTTTTTTTTTTTTTAGCGCGTTTCTGGAGTGGTTACACACAATTTTATAGTCCTTCATTCTTTTTTCTTTTTTCTGTTATTTATTTGCATGCGGACAGGATGTTGCTTCATTTTCCAAATTGTCTGGTCTCTTACAGTCTTCAAGGTTCCGCTTTGTGTTGCAAATAGGAATGAATGGTTTATCCGCTCAATTCGTGCTATTTATATTTTCTAATATTTCCATTGGCTCTTGATTGATCATGGCTACCTAAAACTTTTTGCTCTTTCGGCGATACATTCAAACTTTCATGTTGAAAATGAATCAAGTTAAAATTAACCAATGATACAGAATGATGTCCATTATCCATGCAGCATGCTAACTTTTTGCCATCCTACCCCTTTTGCTACGCTGTAACTCCGGGTAAATAAAAAGAAACTAAAGAACAACAAAAACACATCATCATGCAAATGCATACATGGTACAACATCTCAATATCCATCACAAAAGATGTCAGGGGCCAGCGTATATATATACCAACAAAATATTCAATTTAATCCAGACCCATCCACTCCCCATCCCCACCATCGTCACCATCACCAGCATCATCCATAACTTCATCGCCAGAAGCATCAGACGCCTTCTTCACCACAACCACCTCATCCCCCGAACCCTTCTTCCCCACCTTCCCACTCAACACCGGCTTCGAAAGCAAATACTCCAACGCATACCCATTCCCCTCGACGAGCCGCTTAATCTCATCGCGAATCCCATCAACAACGCGGCTCACTGCGCGCAACTCCGTCGCGAGCTGGCCGCCGTGGTCCTTGAAATAGCGACCATGGATGCTCAGCAGCGCCTCGATCCAGCGTAGGTTGAACTCCAGATGGGGCGTCTCGTCGACGCAGTTGGCGACGAAGCGGAGCATGCGCGGTAGGTAGATTGTGGGGATGGAGGCGGTGATGAGGCGGATGTCGGTTGGTGGGATGGATTCGTAGACTTTGCAGATTAGCGGGGCTTCGTTGAGGCGGAAGGCCATGATGAGGGGTTTTAGGAAGGAGGCTTGGGTGTCTGGTGATGAGGTGGAAGAGGCGGGGGCGGAGGAGGTGGTGGTGGTGGAGGTGGCTTTGGCTTCGGCGAGGGTATCGAGGATGCTGTCGGGTGTGATGGAGAGGTCGAGGTCAAAAGGGTCGAAGACGAAGGAGGTGTCCAAGCTGTAGACCAGCAAACCTTCTGTGGACGAGGCGCAGAAGGATTGTCCGGTTGGCGAGAAGGCGACGGAGGTTACCCGCACTTCGGGCCGGGTGGTGCGTGCGCCTGCGTCGCCACCACGACGGGCGCCGGGGAGACGTTTGTCGATGCGGTCCTCCAGATCTGATGCTTCACCCGCTTCGTCTATGAGGCCGCGCGGGCCGGCTTCGGTCATATTTCTGCTGTTCAGGAATTCCTGCGTGCCATCAAGAGAGGTGTTAATGGAGACGGTGAACTTTTTGCAGAGTGAGCCAGTGCTGACGTCGTAGAGGCAGATATATTTGCTGTTGCCCGCGGCAAGTAGGCAGCTTCCGTCTGCTGAGTAAGTTATTGTATTGTACGACTTAGTGCCAGCAGCGTTGGCGGCTGTTCGACGGTCTGATATTTTCCGGCCTCCTGATACATCGCGTCGACCATCTATTCCTCCCAGCTGCACAGCGTCTTCGACTGACCAGAAGGTCAATTGGCCATCAAGGGTGGAAGCAGCAATTTGTTTTCCATCCGGTCGGAACGCTACACTGAGCAAGTCGGCTTGTAGCTCCAGGGGTTCACTAGTCTGCGTGCGGCCAAAGATGCTCCATATTCGGATCGTGTGATCCCAGCTACCGCTCACCAGATGCGAGCCATCCGCAGCGAAGGATAGGGAGGACACCGGCCCTTGGTGCCCTGCTAGCCGGTCTAGAAGCTGGCCCGTTTGAACGGACCAAATGTGAACATCAAACGAGTCCAATGAGCCTGCGCATACGACCTCTCCACTAGGATCTACTGCTAAGCAGGAGAATGCTAATCTTGAGGGTGCAGTAAATGTCCTGAAATTTCGATATCGAATGAGATCCCATGCTCTAATTGAGCCATCTAATGATGCGGTAAATAAAACATTTCCCTTCTTCGAGAATTGGCAAGCCGTGACACCACTAGTGTGCTCCGTAAACGTGACTATACAGAATCCGGAATTGGTATCCCAGACCTTGATCTTCCCATCATCCGCCGCGGTTATTATTTTTTGTCCATCTGGAGAATATACGAGGGAGTTCATAGAATCCAAATGGCCTTGCTGTTTCAGGATATAGGACTCAGACTGCCATTCCCACACCAGCAGCTGGCCAAACTTCGAAGATCCAAATGCGATCCATTCGCCAGAGTTATTCATGGTCACAAAGTCAATATTGCTCTGTGAGACACTAGTTACAGTTAGTACGAATTTCGGTCGTATATAGACCGCGCGCAAAACGTAACATACCTCAGCATATGTATTTGAGAAAACTCCGGTAGTTCATAAAGTCCAAATAGGCCATTGGAGAAACCAGCGACTAGAAGGTTAGAAGCCGCATGGTACGCCGCACATTTAACCTTTGCGTTGTTTTGCATGAAAAAGTTCTTTTTGGTGATCCTCCAACGCATATCCGAGCTATCTACCATTTCCTCTGGGTCATCGGACTTGCCGCCAAATTGCCATCGAAATAGGGCGCCATCCTTGCTCACGGTGTAGATCTAGATAAGGGAAAAAGCTCAGCTGTCGCTCACATATGTGGGTAGTTCCGACATCTTACTTACCGACTCTTGATCCTCAGTAAACCAAGCGTTTAGCACGGCTTCTCGGTGCCCCGCAAGAGTTGTTGGTTCAAACCCATCCTCCGGATTTAAACTCCATATCCTGGCCGTTAAATCTTTCGAAGCGCTAAGGAAAAATCTGGAATCGCTCGACCAGTGTATGTTCTGCACCACATCAAAATGGCCCACGTACTCCCTATGCAGGACGAATGGTGCGAATTCTAGCTCTCCATTGCCATCTGCACCAGGCGTAGAGGGTGTTTTCCAGACCTGAATTCGCCGACCGACTCCAGCAGCAAAGTGGCGCCCGGAAGGTGAAAAGGCGAGTGCGGAGATTGTAGATTTAAACGAGAAATGGTGGATGGTTATTCGACGAATGAAGTTGGTCAGAATGGCTTTTCCATGTTCGTCAACGGAGAGGAGGAGGTTGCCCTTGGGAGAAAGGGCAATTCGTGAGATATTGGTTCGATGGGCGAAAGGGAGGGTATATGATTTATTGCTGTTTTCAATTATAAAATATTAACCCTTGATACAATTTCTCCACACACGGCTACTATAATGATAGGCACGGGGCTCCTATACTGTATAAGATCAAAAACCGTAACCCTATTACCAACCGGAGAGAGCAAGCAAGTTCCGTCGGGGGTGAAGATGAGGTTTCCTTTGCGGTAAACGGTCCCCAGAAGGTTGGAGAACTGAAAATAGCGTTGCCATTGTTAGCTAGCTACAGGTAGCAGACATACGGTTAGAGCTCCCACATACCTTGAAATCCGTCTTCATCGTCCTCAGGCTGCGCAATCACCGTCGTCGCAATACTCGCTCGAGCAGCATAGTTAAAGAAATGCGGCCAAAAATCAATCTCGAAATGCAGCCCGGATAAACTTTGCTGCGAGAGGTTCCGTCAAACTAGCCACATGCAGCCTAGCGCAATCTGGGGTGTTTACTCGCTTGGGAAATTCAGCTTTCAGGGGCAGCGGAAACAGAAACGCCAACAACGACAGACACTGCTTCATCGCTGTTCTTCACCCTCGCTGCCATCCTCTGCCACCCGTGCTATTGCTATTCTGTCTGCCTCTGTCTGTCTGGCTGTTCTGTGAGGAGCATTGTGTTTGTTGTTACTTATTTGCAGTAATTCATCTTCCTTGTCCCTCCCAAACCCCCAGCAGTTGATATCCAGCACGGCCCTCCTTAGCTATGGCTCCTCCAACTTCTGAGACGGCTTCTCCCATTGGAATTGCCAACGTGAGTTGTATCTGGTATCCAGTTAATTGATGCTTGCGAATCTGACGCTTTTGTTGTTTATAGCTCCCAAATCAACGGTATGCATTGACACAAACTACCTCCTTCGTCTGGGGCTTGTTGGGGGGGAGGATGCTAACATGAACCGTCAGGCACAAAATCGTCGCCAAACGAGGAGCTGCCTTCACTATTATGGTACAATTGAGCCCGCATTATCCTACACTTGCATCTTTGTTAACTTGCTATAGGTTGCTGGAGAGTCCGGATTGGGCAAAACCACATTCATCAATACCCTCTTCTCGACCACAATCAAGAACTATGCCGACCACAAGCGTCGACATGCCAAGCAGGTTGATAAGACCGTTGAGATTGAGATTACAAAGGCTGAGCTCGAGGAGAAGTTCTTCAAAGGTATTAAATTCAACGCAGCACTGCTCTATTCCGCGTATCCTTCAGCTAATTAATCTACCATTCCAGTTCGCTTGACCGTTATTGATACTCCCGGCTTCGGCGATTATGTCAACAACCGTGACTCGTGGATGCCCATTATCGAGTTCCTCGATGACCAGCACGAATCTTACATGCTTCAGGAGCAACAGCCCCGTCGTGTCGACAAGATCGATCTCCGTGTCCACGCCTGCTTGTACTTCATCAGGCCAACCGGTCATACCCTAAAGCCCCTGGATATCGAAGTCATGAAGCGCCTGAGCTCTCGCGTCAATCTGATCCCAGTTGTTGCCAAAGCCGATACACTCAGCCCATCTGACCTTGCCCGCTTCAAGCAACGCGTGAGAGAACCCATTCCGCATATACTAGTGAGCGAATAGTCGAAAGCTGATTATTTTTTCCCATCATAGATCCGCGCTGTTATCGAAGCCCAAGGCATTAAAATTTACCAGCCACCTGTTGAGGAGGACGATGAGCACGCCGCTCAGCATGCTCGTAGCCTGATGGCTGCTATGCCATTCTCCGTCATTGGTTCCGAGAAAGATGTCAAGACCGGCGATGGTCGCATTGTCAAGGGTCGCCAGTATGCTTGGGGTGTAGCCGAGGTTGAGAATGAGGAGCACTGCGATTTCAAAAAGCTGCGCTCCATTCTGATCCGTACCCATATGCTTGACCTCATTCACACCACTGAAGAATCCCACTATGAGGCTTACCGCGCCTTGCAAATGGAGACGAGAAAATTCGGCGAAGCCCGCCCCAGAAAGCTCGACAACCCCAAGTTCAAGGAGGAAGAAGAGAACCTCAGAAAACGCTTCACCGAACAAGTCAAGATCGAGGAACAGAGGTTCAGACAGTGGGAGCAGAAGCTTATCTCCGAAAGAGATCGTCTCAACAAGGATTTGGAAAGCACTCATGCAGCGTACGTTTTCACCCCCACCCCGACAAACGTGGCTACGATGTGCCAATGCTAACTTTGGAACAGTATCAAACAACTCGAACAGGAACTCGAGCAAATGCAAGGTTCCGCTGTCCGCAGCCATGGTCGCCGTTAAGTGTTGGATGGGTGTATTGATGTTTGATGCTGTTGAGTTGTAGAAGGGTAGATGTCTCTTTCGAATACCATACGCGTTGATTCTCCATGCCTGGTTGGCGTGGGCCCAAAATTGTCGACCCGAAACAATTCCCTTTTTATTTGGCGGGAAGGCGACTCGTTTGGGATTGATTACTTTTTGTCGAATCCATTTCTTTTCCTACTTTTCTATTTCGTATTTCCTTTCTATGTCTTCCATCTTTGACTGATACCTAGCGTATTCCCCCACCTCCAGAACCCGATAATATTCTCATTTGTTATATGTAGCGCGGTTTTATTATTACTTTTATTATTCGAAATATCTCACTTTAATTCTACAGGTTTTCTTTCCCCATGATTATGTTTTGGAGATCTTAAATTATTTCCAAATCAAGTAGTTTGTAATTTCATAGAGTTGATGTTCTCCCCATCCATAATAGTTCGAAATAAATAAGCTCCGAGCAGCTCTGCGGCTCCGCTTCGACCTACCAGCTCCATCTTCCACCTTCAAGATGTAAATAAATCAATCACCAACGCGCCTACAGCACACTACACTGCGATAAATACAGATGCCACCTACGCAGAGATTCCCAACTTACCGCCTCCACACAATAAAATCTCACAATGGTACTTGTATATACATTCACTGATTATTTTCCCCTTCACCCCCTGGCGCCCATTCTCTCCCCGTACCACTTACCCACGGGGGACGAAAGCTAACCCTCCGCTTCTCAGCCCCGGTAAACGCAATCTGCTTCTCCAGCCCACCAGGCACGTACATTTTAACGGGCTCCTCCGACCGCTCCATCCATCTCTGCCGCGCCCTCCCACCCTCCTCCACGACCGTCCCAGCCACAACGCCCATCACCACCACCCCGATCCAGCGGTATGCCAAACATGGCTACTCTGTGCTCGACCTCGCGGTAACGGCGGATAACGCGCGGTTTGCCAGTGTAGGGGGTGACAAGCAGGTATTTTTGTGGGATGTGGAAACGGGGACGACGGTAAGGAGATGGAGTGGACATGATGCGCGGGTTGAGGCGGTGGAGTTTGGGGCGGAGGCGGATTCGATTGTTGCTAGTGGTATGTGCAGTACTTTTTGCTCTGGTTTATTGTGAACCGGATTGCTTTTTTGGTTTATTTGAATGTTTTTTATGTTTCTGGAGGTGGATTTGATTTCCTTTTATGAACGTTACCCTTTGCGCCGGGTTGGTTCGTCAAAGGCTGAGGGATCTAGAAACTTATAAGGACCAGAGGCCTGGATATCTCTATCAGCTATACGCGAAGCAACGTCGGATCGACATTGATATTGCCTGTGGCTAAGGTCGTAAGGAGCTGTGCTCGATTTACACCTATCTATCACCTTCACTCAGCATCACCTAGATTTCCCCCATCTCCTCTCTTCCATCGGCACAAAATAAAAATATGGAAAACTCCCCATCCCTTTATTTGGCGAGCTCTATATTATTATCGCGGCAACTCAATCCCACTAACCAGCTTACCACCATTCACAGGAAGCGCCGACACAACCTTAAAACTCTGGGACACCCGCTCCCTCACCTCAAAACCCATCCAAACCCTCTCGGAAGCCCGCGACACCATCTCCTCCCTGAGCATCCACATGCCCACGGCCAGTATAATATCTGGCAGCTACGACGGGCGAATCCGCAGCTACGATCTGCGCATGGGCATGGTGAACGTCGACGTCATGGGTCACGAGGTGACGAGCGTGCGCTGTTCGGATGACGGCAATATGGTGCTGGCGTCATGTCTTGATGGGTGGATTCGGATGGTTGATCGGGCGGATGGGAGCGTGTTGAAGGCGTTTGGGGGTGGGAGGTCATATGCTGCGGCTGCGGCTTCGGCCTCAGGGCAGGCAGAGAGTGTCTCTGCGGCGCCTGCTGCTACTGCTACTGCTGCTACTGCTGCTGCTGCTGGTGGGGATGAAACGCCGCGATATGTCAATAGTTCGCTGCGGATTAGATCTTCGTTTGCGATGGGGGATAGCGTTGTGTTTAGCGGTGGAGAGACAGATGAGAAGGAGAGTGCCGTGAATGCCGAGAGCCATGTGTTTGCGTGGGATGTATTGACGGGGGATGTGATTGCGAAGGTGAGTGCGGGGAAAGGGGTGAAGGCGGTTAGTTGTGTGGCGTGGAATGAGAAAGGGGGTTGCTGGGCGGGGGGTTGTTCGGATGGTAAGTTGTTTCACCCCTGATCTCTTTTCATATCTGGGAAAATTTTTCACATTTCGCAGGGAGGTATTATTTTCCTTTCACTCGCTTCTGCTAACATGATATTACCGAAATAGGGACTGTTCAAGTTTTTGGATGACTTCGGCATTTCCTTTCCCCGAAGTACCTCGTTTCACACAGAAAACGAACCTGTTAACGATCCATATATATGCTACGTTGTCATGACCATTCTAATTACCTCACCGTCCCGGCTGACATCTGCCATCTTGTATTATTATAAACGCCAGGACTAATCCTAATGGGCCTTCCATTTCATATATCTGCTAGTCATTTATCATTTTCAATTACCATTCAATCCCATGAAACCTCGCGCATATTCTGGTTCGAACAAATATACCCGTATCCGGTGTTTTACATTCCGGGAGGATAACTCATCTAAGATACATCCCTCGCAATCATAGCCCTACCCAATGAAAAGACAACTTAAGGACTCTACCCATTCATTGATTGGTGAAGCATTAACAAATACAAAGTAAGCCAAGTATAATTGAGGCCTCATGATTGCGAGTGGACTTGAGCCATAGGCGACGTGGCAAAAGAAAACCATTTGATTCCATATACTTTTCAATATAAACACTACAAATGTCAGGGATTGAATTATATCCCGCTGCTTCAAATATGAAGATGTCAAATTTTTCGATAGCTGAGGCGGCTGACGTCGTCCTTACCTCTGTTTGCACTACAATATTTCCACACTCAACATACCCTACCTACCTACCCAACTTTTATCTCTCACACCCAAACCACGCTCTTTTGATCCCAAATATACATACTATGTTTTTTTGCCGTCGTTCCATCATCCATGTAAGAAGATATAGCAATGGCTTTTTTTTTTTTTTTTATCTTATTCTGGTTTTTTTTGTATTCGTTTTGGGTTCATAAAGCATTTCGTCAATCGTGAGTAACTGAGTAAACAAAATCAAAATCAAATCACCCGCTAACTTTTTCCTTTATTCTCTATCACCTGATTTTGTCAATATATATGGAATTCGGCAACACATCCTCACAAAACAAAATACCCTTGGTTCCCCCTCCCTCTGGACGGAAATCCGTTCGAGCTCCCGTATTATAATGAACTCGAGGGTCCACTCTCTGCATCCAATGATGCCATTGCCCTCTCCAGCTCCCTTTCGCCAACAATGACAGTGCCAGCTCTCACCGTACTCAGGAAGCTGATATCGACTGCATCTGGGTACAACGAATCAGGGTCTGACGGAACTCGGTGAAGCTTCTCGTGGGCGCCCTGTGACTGCTCGCTTTTCTGCCTGGGTTTCTGCGACGAGGTTGATGATTTATCATAACCAAACTTAGCGATAGTAGAGCCATTCGTCGAGAGCTCCACGCTCCTAGCGTCGTCATCATCATTGTCGTCGTGATCGTTGTCACTCTCGCCGATGGCATGGGTAGGCTCTCGACTTTGAGTCGCCGCCGCGAGCCGGCTGGCTACCCCACAGACGATACCTGTAGCTTCCAGTGGAAGTTCGTGCAGATCCAACATGATAGGGATGAGGACGTCCTCCTGTGAGCCTAGTAGGAGATTATTATCGCTATCGCCTCGTGAGTAGCCACCGTGCTTGTTTGGGGGAACACAAGAGATGGGGTCGAGAGAGAAGCGAGGCAGGAGCCGTTTTTCGAGCAATATGGAGGCGGCGGGGTCGGTGGCTGTCAGGGTTAGGGAGAGGAAGCGGGGTTTATCAAGTATTAGAGTTGTGACGAGGCTTGGGCGGAGGATTGAAGGGGAGCATGGGCGGGAGGATGATGAGTATTGTGCTGCGCATTGGACAATGCGGAGGGATTTGTCGACGCGGGCGTGTATGTTGTGTTTCCGTAAGGAGGCGAACGTTCGTGTTTGGAGCTCTGGTAGTGTTGATGGGGGAGGTGTTAAGGGTGGTGATCGTTGTGCGTCTAAGGATGGTGGAGAGCTGCGGTATTGCGGATTACTGCTACTGTTGACGAAGGCATCAGATGGGACTTCGAAGTTGAAGCCACGGTTCTTGATAGTGTGGGTTACAAGGCCTCTTGAACGGCGGGGGACGAGGATGTAGTCGGAGAAATAAGTTGAGATGAAGAATATGGATCTTATGCAATTTTCCACTCATTAGTAACAGAGTATAGCGGTTCTAAATATTAGTATGAACTTACACTCCCGCCATTGCAAGAGCGCTGGTCAGTTCCAGAACTCGTTGGCCGGCATCCAACCCTTGCCCATCAACCTGCATGACGATGAAATCCTCCTCACTGATGGATACTTGGTGTGCCTTGGAAGGTTCATTTTTATTGAACTTTTCTGCCAATTGGCGAAAATATAAGTCTGCCAGTTCCCTCGAGCAAACAATTGAACATTCGACTGGAGTGATGGAAATGTTAAGAAATGCCGGATTCGTTGGTTCAGATATATGAAGATCTCTCAATTCTAGTTCGTCCGGGTGTATATCTTCGATAGGAGGCACATCGTGGAAAATAAGCTGAAGTATTGGGTGTAGGAAGAAAGGATACAGGTCCAGGGGGATGTGGATGAGTGCGAGACAGTCATTCTGAATCCCAATTTCCAATGTCAGCAATGCTGGCCTTGCATATTCAATACCAAAGACGGCGCAGGCTAATTCCACGAATATAAAGCACATTCTTGTGCTCTAACGAACGCTAAGGCCCAGAAAGAAAATGTACTGGTCAAAGACTGGGGTTGCTGTTACAGAGATGGAGAGGGGGGAAAAGGGAATTATGGAAGGTGATGATTTTTCGGCATTTGCGACTCACCAAGAACTGTACTTGAGCGGAGAAGAGTGACATGGTGGTTGCCACGTATACGGTCTGATTGACTGATCCACTTTGGCAAGTATGCCAGAGTATGTGATTGAACGGTAAAGATTGGCCTATGTATGTTGTTCAAAGCTGCCGAGAGACATATTTCAAAACGAGGCGGAAATGCTAGTGTGTTTTAAATGGAACAAGAGGGATGTATATGGACCCGCTCAGTTGGAAAGGCTGGAGGCCAGGCGTAATGGAAGTCCAACTTGGGATCGAATGCCCAGCGATCAGTTGAAAGATTCGACAGGGCAAATGGATAGAAGTTCGGTGCGAGATGTCGTAGCAGTCTCCAGATGCTCGCGAAAAGGGGAAAAACCGCAGATACGAAGTGATAAAAATAAATAAATGTAACACTGAATAAACCCCTAGAACCGATAGCGAAATATCCAAATGATATCCTGGGGCTTTCGAAACAAAGAAAAAAAAGCGGTCTCCCCGGCGTGTCGAACTACTCTATCACAGCAATGACGAAATGCGGACGACGCAGATCAACGATGGCCAAAGCATTAGCTGTATATGGCAAGAAAAACGACAATGCCACCAAGGTTAAAAATGTTTAAAGCAAATATTCAACTCCTATACGAGATTTCAAGCAATTGAACAAACGAAGCGAGATATCCGGTAGATAGAATCATATACAGCATCAGGGGATGAACACACAAGGAAACAGAGGCAGATAGATATGCGACTGAACAGTAAATGTTGAGGCCTCGGGAGTCAGAAACGATGAGTCAAGGCAGTACAAGAAAAAAAAAAAAAGAAAAAAAAAAAGAAAGAAAGAAAACGAAAACGAAATAGGGTATTTTCGAAATAAAAAATGACAGATAGTGCAATCACACGCGAAGCTCGCCAACTGCCGCAATCGAGATCTGAAGAGCTGAAGAGCGAATCCTGCTTGTTGTGCTTTTTTTTTTTTTTTTTTTTTTTTCTCTTTCTATACCCAGGGATTATTTATCGCCAGGACAAAGCACGTTTCCCGAAGCAGGCTGGATTCAACATCCACACACACGAACGAATAACAATTTCCCTCTTCCAATTTCTTTTTCATTTACCCCTTCACGCTTCGGATGACGGTTCCACCCGTCTGTCGTGCTCTTGTTCCTCTCGAATTTATGAGGAAAAACGGTTGGGCAACAACTGTCACCAATGATCGACCACACCCTTGGTCTGGTCTGGGTTTTATTTTCCTTTGTAGTAAACGTCTCAGGAGAGGCGTTATTCTTGTTTTCCTTGCGATTTTTTTGCCACCAAACTAATAGGAAGAAATGGTGAACGCCACACAGGAACAGTTGCACTGCGAGGAATCAGGAGGATCTTCAAGAATTATACGGGAAGGAAAATATCTGGTGTATGAATAGTGAAGATTTGAGGGAGTCCGGAGAGGCAGAATAAACGCAGAAGAGCCGAAAGCGAAGAAATGAATTGATTGATTGACCACCTTAAGAAAAAAAAAGGGGGGGAAATGTTGGAGTTTCGCAACAAGAGCTCTTGACTTGGGCGTAGTTAGACGGGGACGCATAAAAAGTGCTTAAGTTATCACTTTTATTGCACGAGGGCAACACGCGAAGGCCATACGCTGCGTATGGGTAGATGTACTCCCACTGATGGGTGGACGGTAGAGTAAGAGTAATCTCCCCGAGAGTAGCATTTGGTGGACGGCAATAATAGAAGAAAAAGAAGTAACGTTTCCTAGCTATGCTATGGAGCTGTTGGGGTTGAACGACGGAGGTTGGATGGATGTGGGTAAGAGAGGCTGCTCAAAGCAGAGAGAGAGAGAGAGAGAGAGCCGAACGAACTGCTGCCCTTTCGTCATTGCAGCAAGATAAACTAAAGTAACTAGATGATAGGTGATTAATTAAAGTTATAGTGTTAATGTGGAAATCTTATTATTCAACGAACTCTGTTTTCTCTGTTCTCACGATCCTTTCGCATTCGCTCGTCACACAGCGTTTGGCTCCAGCAACGTGGGAGGCAGTCAGAGGACAGAGTGGGGACGACATGAAAGTCAAGTTAGTAATAATGAGACAACTCTGAGCTATCTTGCAGCTATAACTAACTACTAGTTAAACTAGTTGTCAACTTAACTGCGAAACGGAGAGATCTGGTTGATTCAAGAAAAGCAGTGAGCAACAACCCGTGGTTCAACACGCGTCCAAGTTCACTGTCAGGTCTGTCAGGAGATTCAGCTGTCTAAGAGATCCTATGTTAATTTTCCGTACTACTAGGTAGCTCCTCTCTGTGCGCTAAAAAGACAGTTTCCAGGCTTTTTCAGCACATCGGTGGTATGTGCTGTACATACATGCCTGAAAGAGCTCCATTAATATATTGGGCCGTTGCTGTCAAATGAATTGGAGACCCTTCCAAGGTTCCCCCCCCCCCCCCCCCCCCGTGTTTCTACGAGGGGAAAGACTCGATGGAAATCTCGCAAGCCAGGGCAAATAGAAACGTCGTTCCGGGTGTTGCGCGCGCTGGACTAGGGGCATGTTGAGAGGGGTAGGATGTTGCTCGTCATGTCATTATTGGGCGAATGCAGGGAATAACTCGCAGAATGTAGAAGCACGCTGCTGTAGCGTGAAGCCCTAGTCTCTCTTATTCCTTTAACTAACTACCATAAAACAGCTCAGACGATCGTTCCTAATAATAATAATATAAGTGTTTCTTCGGCGGAATTCGCAGGGAAGCGGGGAAATTGATAACACAGACTTTTCAGGATGGCGGAAGGCGAGACGTGCTGTACTGCGTAGTTACAATTTCAAGATAGCTAACCTCACATAGTTAGTTAATTAGTTAGTGGGTCAGCGCTAGTTAGTTAGCTGTCTAAATGGGAGGTAAGTTTTGCTAACGCTAACCTTTCATTCCGAACGATAAAAGTGTTGTCCGAGCTGTTCAAGGTGGGTGGAAGCAACCAAAGCAGATGCATGACTCTTTGGTCAAGCGTTTAAGGAGGAAAGGTATGTACTAACAGGCAGGATAATTAGTAGAACTGAATCATTGATGAGTGAGACGCTGGTTGCTGATGAGCCAATGGATTGAATAGGATGATTGAATAGGATGATTGAATATCAGGTTGTCATCGTCTCTCATGGATATCACTACAATTGCCCAACCCTGAACAACTGACAGCTGAGCATCAATTCCCATCCGGCATTTATTAGGTACCTAATGCATCACACTGAAACAAGCTGATTTTTCTTTCTTTTGCAACTTTGTCTCATACCCCTACTGACCATCAAGATTCAATAATGATCAACAAATTGCCTGCGTTGAGAACCACCTGTCCAGCCATGAATATCACCACCCTTCATAGAAACAGTTTCAGATCGTGCTAAAGAATGGACTCTACAGCGCTGTTATTTACATCCTGGAGCTCTGAACCCAGAGCATGCTGGTCACTTAGCGGAAGTATTTAATTGGCACTAACTAATGGGGCAGACCAAATGAGACAAACCGACTCTGCTTCTCCCATATTATTCTATTGCCGCGCCATTGATGCCTCAGCATAACCTCAAAAACATATGCCGAATAGGCTATCATAGACGGCGTGTCAAGGGGGCCTCATCCGATGCAATAACTATCAGAGATGTTCTTAAAGCGGAATGTCAGGGTCCCCCATGTCAAATATGCATGCGGGGGATACTGCGCGCGGAAAGTCTCCCCCGTCGCGAACCAACCCAGAAGACAGCCATACCATACAGGCCACACCTGCAGCTATCGGCCTCCGCATTGCATCCTATCCTGCGCATGTGTAGATGCACTTAACTCAACTCTAATCATCATCCTCAATGGCAATGGACCTTGTCCCCTTTTCCGTCTCTGACCCTGCGAAGCCAACAGGAATCTCGCGAGGCAGAGAATGTGGGGCTGCTTTTCACAGATTAAAGGGTAATCAGCCAGTCAAATGGACTGGCTGACAATGGAAAGTTGACTTTTTTTGCCTGGTTGACACACTCTGTGCTCTGTGCATTCCAAAATACGTGGCCGTGCGATACACAACCTCCGGCCCACCCCCGCTTCACGACGTACATCGGCAAGGCGAAAGGGGCTGTGTCCCGATCATGATTTGTGTGGCCTGGGGTCTGGAGCTGCTTTCGATTTTTTTTTTTCTTTTTCTTTTAGCTACAGATGTGGTTGCGTTTCATTCTTCTTCTTTGTAGTGCGGCAGTTGAGATTTGAATAGATCAATTGGAGTGACGGAATCGCAAAATTTTCATACTCATTTATTGATCCGCTGGGAAAAGTGGATTCTGTGTGCTGTTATCTCCCGTCTGATTTGTCTCCGCTAATTCCCCTCTTAGCATCTACATAATACAGTAAATACTATGCATTTTGTGCCGCTTATCTGATAGTGTTTTCACAACCAAGGCTCGCGTATGTTCAATGAAGTTACCAAAGCACGAAGATTCATGCGATCGATTGCCTTCCCTTTTTCTTCTTTTTTCTTCTCCAATTTCCAGGCATTATACAGGTACAAGTATGAATTGATCAAGTGTGTTGAGAATAGATTTTTGGTTGTTTTCAATACCTAAAGAGCCAATGTACAGAGTAAATTTTATCCATGATGAAAATGAAGTACATTATTTACATACATTAGTAACTGCAGGCTCTTCGCCTTAGGAATGGAGGTCTTTGTATGACACCTGGTGCTAAGGAAGAAAAGAAAATCCCTTTGTCATCATCATCGTCATATCATAAGTGCAAAACAAGTTCATGACAGACGGCCAAAATGTCCTAGAACACCACATCATGATACACGGATACACATATTTATGTCCATCCCAACGCCCATACTCAGATATACTTAAGTATTAAATATTGTGTACCTCCTTTTTCTGCCAATCACACTCACATACTATACTCCGTAGAATATTATGTGATACAAGAAAAAACAAAAAAGAAACCAGGGTCGTCAACACCAAGGTCTATAAATTCTTTCATATCAAAAGAACTTCAGTCCTTCAGGCAGATGTGGTTCCCTGGCCACGACTAACACCCCTGCCACCACCGCGTGCAAAACCACGACCGCCTCTACCACGACCACTTCCCCCACGTTCCAAAGACGATGGCGGAGGAACGTTATTGTAAGATCGAGGTCTGAAATTCGGGTTGTGCTGCACAACATCTTCTTGCGGGTCCACCCTCTCAACCGAAACATAGCCAGCGCGAGTCGCAGGCGACGCACCAATACCTCCACGTGGCCCTCCACGTAGCCCACGGGGGCTATATCCATTCTGATTACTGCCAAAATTAGCCCGACCACCCCGGCCGCGAATGTCTTTAGGCGGTTGCGGTGAGCCACTGGTTGGATAGTGGTTGCGAATCGGCAATGTTTGCTCCGACTGGCCGTGGCCACCACGGCCACGGAACGTTCCAATGCCCCTGGACGCACCTAACTGACCTGTAACAGCGCCACGGAAACTGCCTCGTAGAGGCGGAGGGGTGGGAGCATGTTCCAGCTGGCCCTTTCCGCCTGGTCCGAGTGGAGCTCCGTAGCCCTGAACGGTTAGTGGCTGTTGTTGTCGCTGTTGTTGTGATCTGCCTTGTTCAGCCGCCGCGCGGGTCGTTGCGACAAGTTGTCTGTTGGTCACGTTTAGAACGCATGATGCGGGAACGGTCGAACCGCGGAATGGGGAGCATCTGTCCCCCAGAGTTGTGCCGCTCATAAAGGAGACGTCAAACACAATGTCCAGGAGAAGTGTTCTGGATGTGCGCGTGAGCCCAACGATAGTCCCTCTTGTGGCGATGGGGACCTTGCCAGATTCCTGTGCATAAACCACCCTATCACCAAGAGAAAATGACTGGTTGCCTAGTCGATGCTCCGCATCAGCTGGCTTTAATAATGCATTACGCGGGACGCCTTTCATCTTTTTGGCTTCAGGTGCGGGTCGAGTACGGACGAGTTCGTCCGCGGCCTGTTCAATAGATTTCACAAGGTCTGAATCGAGCTGTTCAGCTTCCAACGGTACACGTTCGAAATGCTTCGCCTCGATAGACTTGAGCCATGCCTGAATCTCCTTGATTTTGGCAGCCGCTGTTTCTGGTGGGTAGAAATCTGTAGCCTGGAAGCCATCCCCTTGTGGCTTTCGTTGAATGCCTGCGATGAATTCAGGGAATTTGATCATATATTGCTGGATAAGACCGATGGCTTTCTCACTGAATTCCCATCCACTGGGCCCGCGTCGAGAATACCCAAGCACTTTCTGCTTCCTCGCCTCAAATTTCAGATTGAGTCCTAGGTTGATACGTTGGCTGTCCAAGACCACCGTGAACGAAGACGTGATTTTGGCCAGCGTCAGGGGGTTCAGATTCAGACTGCGGGCAATCGCGAACGATGGGCTGTAGGGAGAGAGCCTTTCGGCAGCTCTTGTGAGATCTCGACCAAATTCCGGTTCCTTGCCTTTGACGACGGAAACAAGCCCACTCAATTTTCCGTCCTCATGCCCAGTAATATGCACTGGCGCTCCATAGTTGTATTCACCCAGGAAAAAGGCCCTTGTTCCCTCCGGGAATTCCTCCTCGACAGGTAAAGCTTCTCGTTCGATAAACCGATCATCCTCGCACATAACCTGGTCAACAACAAGCTGCAGAGCGTAATCCGTTTCAATACCAGGGATATCAGCGAACTCCTTGACCGTGGCGCCTTCGTCCGTCTTCATTAATCCCTTCAGCATCTGCACGTGGACCATGGACTCGATATCGCCAACAACCATGCCGAGTCTTTTGCTATAGTATGACTCAATTTGGTGGGTTTTGCGTCTCCACTGATCTATTTGGGAGGGAGCATGCGGAATAGAAACAACATGCTGCTCTCCATCGACATACATGTAATCGAAAAGTTCGTCAGACACGCGACTCACTTTGGCCTCCTGAAGGAATGGGTACCCGACGTGCACTCGCTGACCAAGTTTTTGTTTCGCCAGTTCAACACTGGACCGGTTTTCTGGCGCGCTGAGCGTTACCACCATGCTCTCGTTACGACTCTCCTGTTGAAACACGGATACTCCGTGGAAGCCTAGCTGCCCATTGTGTGGCAATGTTTTCAAGCTAGGGAACCCTGCCAATGCCTCGTGACCCAGTTTAACGCCTTCTACAAGGCCAACAACAGGTTCTAGACCTTCCATTGTTGGGAGGTCAAACACATTTTCTATGCAGTGACACTTGGCGATGTCGGGAAACACGCCAACAAGTGAACTGGGATATGTGTATTCGATATCTGGGGAATAAGTGAATTTCAACGTAACACCAAATTCATTTCTTGCTCTCTCTGCTGGGGTCAGCAAGTGTTGCTTCGTGGCCATCGCGCCAAGCAGGCGTTTTTCATCAATAAACGGAATCTTGACAACGGCTTCCCACTCCATCTTTTTACCATTCATGTCAAGTTCGAAGTCGCGAGGATAAAAGTCGATGATCGGGGATTCTGGAGAAGTCATCAATTCATGGAAGGCCGCAGGGACAATTTGCTTGCTTCGGTCCGGTAGAACACCCATTAACTGTTCGAAAGGGCGGAAAGGTTGCCCAAGGTCGAAATTCATATCAGCTTTCAAGCCAAATTTGACATCAGAAATCATCGGCGAATAGTGATATTGATAGAACCAAGGCCAGGAGGCAACTCCGCGATAATAATAATAGAGAACCCACTGAAGGCCTTGCACATAATTTTCGGTCAACTTTCGCATTTCTTCATGATTATCCAAGCCCCACCCGAATTTGGACTTGTAGTAGTCGTTCTTCCACTCCTGGAACTTGAGCTCGTATTTTTTTTCAGCTGCTTGCTGAGCTTCCTCTGCCGTCGTTTCCTTCACCTTGGCGTTTTCGTATCTCTTCATAACGCGAAGAAGGGCAATTTGACCTTCTTCATCGTCACCATCATCTTCGTCGCCAGAGCTCCCGCTAGATTGAGTCTCCTTCGACGGCAGTTGTACCCGCAAAAATCGATCACCATGCTCGTTGGACACGGTAGTCCACGCAAGGTGCAGATCGTCTGCTAACTGCTCCACGAATTTGCGATCCCTCGCTGGTAAACTAGAGGAGAGGTCGAGAGGAATTGGTTGCCCTTCATCATTCACCGGGCGATGTGTGACATATTTTTTGATTCGGTTGAAAATGTGCTTCTGTGCGGGTGAAATCGTAAAATCCTTCGCATTTGCTGGTGACTCTGAGTTCTCCGGCTCTTGGCCTTTCATTTTGGATTTAATCCAACGGGCATCCGAATATTCCGCTTCAAAGAAACGGAATTCGACATCGGATAACGAATCTAAGAGAACTCCTAGCCGCTCTAAATTGATTGTTCCCTGTTCATTTATGTATCCTCCCAGTTTCGGTAAAACTTGTTTGTAAATCTTGAACATCCAAGCCAGCGCCCCCTCATTGATGTGTAAATTCGGCAGGTTTGGTAAGAAGTCATTTCCCACGAAAAACGCCATAAGAATGAAATCGTCGATAACTCGTTCCAAATCAAAAGGAAATTGCAAAGCGTCGGCCTCTTCCAACTCCTGAAACTCCAGCTCTAAGTATTCCCTTACCATACAAAGATGCATAAGATAGAAATTCTGGTGTTCTAGCTCCTTGGACTTTTTCTGACTTTGTCTCCCAAACGTTACTTCTTCACGGAGTAAACAGAAATGAGGATCGTGACTTAGTAGACCCAACATGATCAAATCCGCATCCAAGCCGTATAGACAATGCCGTACATCTGGATGGTATCCTGGTTGTGCTTTCGACTGCCGAATATATTCCATGATCTTATGCTCTCCTTCGCCAGGGACCTCATGCCCGGACAGAACGATTTCCACGCCCTGCCATTCCACATCCTCCGAGACCTTCTTATTGATGAAATACTTCAGCTGCTGTGTCAGCTTGGCCATGAATTCGGTTCCCGGTGTTATGCAGTTGCTATCAAAGGCCTCCTCCTTTGGCATTTCAATCCCCTGTTTGATAGCCTTTTCCTTGGCCACTTCCGCATCTAACGCTGTTCGGAATCGTCTCGCTCGTTGTTGGTTCATTTTCGCGCGCGGTGCGACTCCGTCAATAGCCATGAAAAACAATTTTTTCGGCTTGATCTTCCCGTATAGATGTTCTATATAGTTAAAAATAGCGATGAACATCTTATCTTCTGTCATGCGAAAGGTTGGCGAGTCCGAATCCTTGTGGGTGCAGTTGTGGATAATGCCATTCATATCGAGGTATAGGCAATCGAACTCAGGGATGCGGTTTTCTGCAATCAACTGCGATATTGCGGGGTATCGCTCGGACATCCATCTGAAAAACTTCGGAACACCCATATTTGCGACTTGTTAAATTAATGATAGGAAAGTGGTATGAAGTTGAAAAATGTGGTCAACGTTGGTGCCGTGAACTGGATCGAATGAATAACGAAGCAGGAACAAATTTAACCTATATAGACAAAACTCTATAGGTATGAAAAAAAGATGAGCTCTCGGAGTTCTGAATGAAGAGGAAAACAGTGAAAAGGAAAAAAAAGCGTCCGTTAAATACACCCAGAGTGAATAGCTGGAGTTTTAATGACCTTCGAGGGATCTTGCGCCCAGATGTCGGGGAATCCAAATCGGGAGTTGGGCCGGGGGCCTTGAGCTGCGTCACGTGGCGAATGCTATGAAAAGAGGACTAGCGTGTCCCGAGCTCATTAACGCGACAATCGCGTTTTCTTCATTTTGCGAACATACGTTTTAACAACCACCGTTCCGATAGGACTCTAGGGCCCCAAAGAGGTTCAATTTGCAAGATAAATATTCTGGAACCTCCTGAGACTTATACCTAAGTCAGTGCTTTCTCCACTTTAAGGAAGTGCGCGAGGCTTGAACTGCCAAGCTTCACCATGGATGATTTTGATCAAGGTTTGTGAGGAGCTCTTGAGTGCGCGCAAGATAGCTGCTGATTGTGGGTGTTGCACTTTTAGTGGGCATAGAGGAGGAGCAGGAAGAAGAGAGAACAGAGGAGAAGATAATTAATGAAGGTATTTACTCCCGTCTTATTTTTGCTATCTCCTTGAGTGCTTTTGGCTGACATTTCGTTCCCTAGAATACAAGACATGGAAGAAAAATGCGCCGTTTCTTTATGATATGATTCTCAGTACAGCATTGGAATGGCCTACTCTTACTACACAATGGCTGCCAGATAAGCAAGCGTAGGTTCTCTTGGACAACATTGCGATTCCTGACTCGGAGCCTCTCATCGCTGATACCACCCAATAAGTGTCCCAGATAAACCCTATTCAACCCACCGCCTACTCATTGGAACGCATACATCGAGTGATGCCCAAAACTACCTTCAAATAGCACATGTCCAACTACCTAATCCAACGGCTCCAGATGCGGAAGATTACGATGACGAGAGGGGGGAGATCGGCGGATATGGAGGCGGGGGATCAAAGAAGGCGCCCATGGAGGTGAAATTTAACATTGTCCAAAAGATCGATCACAAAGGCGAGGTGAATAAAGCACGATACCAGCCACAAAACCCGAATGTTATCGCAACAATGTGCACAGATGGGAGAGTGATGATTTGGGACCGCTCGAGACACCCCAGTCTTCCCACGGGTAACGTAAGCCCTGAGCTAGAGTTACTTGGGCATACGAAGGAAGGGTTTGGGTTAAGTTGGAGCCCTCATTTGATTGGCCATCTCGCTACTGGAAGTGAAGACAAAACCGTCCGCCTTTGGTTTGTCACCCCTGCGCGTTTGAGGCTAGCATTCATTCCCACTTTAGGTATATGGTGCTAATATTATCTATAGGGATATCACGCAACACACGAAAGGCAACAAAGCTCTTAAGCCTTCGCGGACATACACCCACCACTCCTCCATTGTCAACGATGTCCAACACCACCCTCTCCACTCGTCCCTGATCGGGACTGTATCTGACGATATCACACTTCAAATCCTCGACATTCGTGAAGCAGACACCACCCGCGCTTCTTCGGTGTCCAAGGACCAGCACAAGGATGCGATAAATGCCATTGCCTTTAACCCTGCCAAGGAAACGGTCCTTGCTACCGGATCAGCGGACAAGAGTGTTGGCATCTGGGATCTCCGAAACCTTAAATCGAAGCTACATGCGCTTGAGTGCCACAATGAATCGGTAACGTCTCTGGCTTGGCATCCGTTCGAGGAAGCAGTGCTAGCGAGTGCTAGTTACGATCGGAAGATCATGTTCTGGGATCTCAGCCGTGCTGGCGAGGAGCAGACCCCTGAAGATGCTCAGGATGGACCCCCTGAGCTGTAAGTTAACCATTTCATTTCTTATTTCAACGGTGCCCGAACATTCTGTACCCTCCTCAACAGGCTAGGAATGTTCTTCTTGCATATCAATATCAGTATACTAACGCTATTGTGTTTGATAGACTATTTATGCATGGTGGCCATACCAACCGCATCTCCGATTTCAGCTGGAACTTGAATGATCCGTGGGTTCTGTGTTCAGCGGCGGAAGACAACCTGCTTCAAGTATGGAAAGTGTCTGATGCCATTGTTGGTAAAGACATGGAAGATGTTCCAACTGAAGAGCTGGAATCATGAGGGGCAACATAGTTATTTTGCTCGCTTGAAAATGACTCGATCTGGTCCATACTGTTCGCTGGCTTGGGCTGGTGCCCGTTGCCTATCTTAAGGGGGGGTGGTTTCCGCGTATCCTTTTCCACAACCTATATTCTCTTTGAAGAGACACGCTGAAATTTCCCTCTGGGGATGGTGGGATAGGGTATTACTTTCGGTGTTCCTTCTTCAGGTGTACGAATTTCACGGCTTGTTTTCTGTCTTATGCTCCGTCTGTATTTGTAGGTACATTACACTGGGGTGAAATTTGAAAGGCAGCGGTTACTCAGTAGCGAATTCAGTCTTTACGCCCCTTAGATTGCCACTATTTACCCAATAAGCTGGACTATTCCCATCTAGTCCGTCCTTTATTTTACTTTGTTTTATATCCCTCTCTATTTTAGACTAGCGTCGGAGATTTATTTTACCGAGCAGCCGCTTCCAGCGAATCAGCCTTAGTCAGAAACCTTGACGAAACTCTGATCTTTCCCGAAAAACAGTCGCCGCCAGCGCCCAGACAAAAAAAAAAAAAAAGAGAAAAGAAAATATACCACACTCCTCAGTTATGCAAATGCCCCTACAAAACATAAATATTGTCAGTTAGAGGACCGGGCAACCGAGAAGAGCAAAAATATCTGCACTTCAGGGCTTCTCGAACCCAATTCATTCCTCGCACGGCGGAGAAAAATTTCGAGATCGACAAATGACTGGGGACTCCCCGCCACTGGGCCCAAAGCCCAAATCCGCCATCCCCTCCTATCTCCTCAACGGACAAGCTTCCGTGCGCATGCCAAGTAACGTGCGCGAGCGGGAGAGCCTCAATTCATCAATCAAATCTTCATTCGCCCGGAAACAGGTGGTTGATCCGGATTTTGCGGTTCCAAAGCCGGTCCCAGTAGCAGAAATACCCCCCGCAGCTGCAGCAAGCGCGGGGGAAACGGCAATGCCAACTACAAATGAGATACTCGAGAACGGGGTGCCTAATGATCAGCACAAGAATATATCAGTGGAACAGAGCGGTGCTGTCAATGAAAAACCATTGCCCGCCGCTCGCAGACCATTAGAGATATCCGCGCTTCATATCACCTCCTCCGCTACTCCTACTGCTACTGCTTCTACCCTTGCTCCCCGTCCTACTAAACGAAACCTCAGCGAGCCACCTCGCGATCCTAGAGACCATACGGGATCTCTAACACCACCTTCTGCTGTTAGTCGACCTGCGAGCCCTTATACCCTGAATCCACCAATTGATTTTGACGGGCTGAGTTGGCCGAGTGTGTATCCCCTCTCCTCTGACACCCCCTTTTTTTTTCTCCCCCGCCCTCAATATTTAATAATCTTGTGCAGGCGTCGGTACGCGCGAACGTCTCGAAGCTACACCAGAAGAAAGTGAAAAACGAACACAGAAACTCGCGGATGCCGTGCGGACGATACTGGAATGTATTGGGGAAGACCCGCAGCGCGAGGGTCTGCTTGGTACGCCGGAGAGATACGCGAAAGCGCTGATGTATTTCACAAAGGGTTATGAGGAGAACGTGCGCGACCTGGTTAATGGTGCTGTTTTCCATGAAGACCACGACGAGCTTGTCATTGTGAAGGATATCGAAGTTTTCTCGCTCTGCGAACATCATATGGTCCCGTTTACGGGCAAGGTATGATTCTCCACCGTACCAGCCCCTCATATTATTTTTTAAAGAAAGGCCATAAGATGGGGATACAGATTTACTGACCATAGAAACACAATCCTACAGATGCACATTGGCTACATCCCCGACCGCCGCGTCCTCGGCCTGTCTAAACTCGCCCGCCTCGCAGAGATGTTCTCACGCCGCCTTCAGGTGCAAGAACGTCTAACGAAGCAAGTAGCCCTCGCCATCGCCGAAGTGCTGAAACCACAAGGCGTAGCCGTCGTGATGGAGTCGAGCCATCTGTGCATGGTGATGCGTGGGGTGCAGAAGACTAGCAGCACGACTACGACGAGTTGCATGCTTGGCTGTATGCGGGCGAGTGCGAAGACGCGAGAGGAGTTCCTTAGTTTGCTTAATCGGAAGTAGAACTTCTCCTTAAAAAAAGAGAGAAAGAAAGAGGGGGGTTTGGCTGGAATACACATGTATATATACCCCAGACGTGAGTTCCTGGAATGAACGACCAAAGACAACGCACATACACAGATGCAGGCCATCTTCTACGCAAATCACCAACTTCCAACATTTCACCCTCTAACACTCTGTACGGTAGCTTCTCCCTTTGGAACACTATCGTCGACTCACTTCTTTCTAGACATACTTCCCGCCGGCCCGATAGTTCGTTCACAGTGTACCAACCGTCACCTTATGATAGAATCGTTTTTCTTTTCGCCCTAACTTTGTGTGTTCTACGACTCTTTTTTAAACCCGGAGTTTGGTCTTTGAACCCCTTTTTCTTTTTTCTTTTTCAAAGCCATTTCATCATAGAGGCTTTACGAAATTTGGTGGGCATTGGCTGGCTTTCTCTTGTTGTTGGTTCTCTCTTTTTCTGCGCTCGCCGTTTCAACAGGCAAACAAACACTTTTCATCCTGATATCGTTATCACATTGTCATATATATGGGTTGGATTTCTGTTTGTTGCCATTTGCCATTATATTTTCCTACGTGGTTTTCTTTTTCATTTTCATCCTTCCTGCGTTTTTCTTTTCATCGATTTTTATTTTCTCTTCCTTCTTTTCACGCCCCCTTTGAGGCTTCGCTTGGAAGATATATACTGGATACCCAATACTTCCCTGTATTCAACTACCTCCATTTACCCTTTCTTGAATCCAACTTCAAGAACAGGACCGGCGCAGCGAGAAAACCCACCTACGTGTTTTTCCCAAGGATTCGGATCCTTTTAACATGCCTCCTTTTTCTCAGTGTTCCCGATGATTTTCCGTGCGCGAAAGCCGTGATATGATAGATATGTTAAAACACAGAAAAAATTATGCCCCGCCCAAGAAGGATGTGTGATCATTTATGCGATGATGACTCGACTCATCCTATTTGCTTTCTCTGATATCTTTGATTTTCTCTCTTGGTTGTGGTTTCTACTACATGTATACATTAGATAGATGTGTGATATAGAAAGAGATTGAAATGAGAAACATCGATAAATGTCTCGCAGGTACACATACGGTTTAGGCGAAGGTAAGGTACATTACAACTGCATGAGAGGGAAAATCTATGAAGGAGCAGCGGACAGACAGATTGTTATTGCAAGTACCAGAAGGCTTCATTCAGCCGGGAGCAAGAACGAGAGACAAACAAGCGTTGTTGAGAGAAATAAATGGCTGTCGGATATGGGGGATATGGGGAAAGCAAAAGGGAGCCCAACCCATAGCAACGAAACGGCGTCCTCGAGAAAAGTAAACAAGAACTGGGAGTTGAAATATCTCCTCCAGTGTAGTGTTACGAGGTCTCTCTCTCTCTCTCTGTAATCATTGTTTAACACAGTGTAAAGGTGCTAAATTATTTGCTATTCTTCTATTCTTTATTCAATCGCTATCCGCGTCTCCATCATCAATTCTGCCACTCACTCATCTGTCCATTTCGCTATTTCAGTCACCATTCTCGAGGTATTGAGGGACATCTATCAATGCCAGATATATACCCTCAGCAGCCCATTACCCCCCCCTTAATTCTCGTCTGTGGACACATACTCGGTTTGTATACCTGATTCTATTCTGAATTTCAGGCTCGTGTTATTCCTATCGGCGCGTCCATTCGCGCGCTTGCATGCCCCTATTCACATAGAAGTTGCCCATTCACCATCCCGAGTTGTCCTATTTTTGGTGATTGGAAAACCCCCCCGTTCAATCACCAATTGCCCATATAATAAATACCCATTCCACCCCAACCCTTACCCATTCATTCATTCACCATATTCCAGGCAGAGGGAGACATTTGTTTATTGATCTGAAAATCCTCACTCTTTGCGAAACCCCAACTTGGATCATTCGGTTTATCAAGATTCGCCTGCGCACCTTGTCCCTTTTGATAAGGACTGCAAGCATTCACCATTTCTTTCTTTCTTTCTTCTGTTTTCTTTTCTTTTTCTTTTTTTTTTTCCTTCTATTTTGTAAATTTTCTGCCAAGTATGGCGTGGCCGGGTTACCTACCCCTAGGAAATATGGCTTTTGGAGCTGGGGACTTGACCATGCCACAGCAAAAAGCATATGAGCCTCTGCAACGTTTCCAGCAGCACCAGATACAGGAAACATATCAGACTCAGCGCCAACCCGTGCAGCAGCACCAACTGCAGGGCCAGCAGCACCTACCCCACAGCCAGCAACACCACCCTGCGCAGCAGCATCAACTACAGAACCAGCAGTACCTACTCCAGAGCCAACAGCACCACCCGGACCAGCAGTACCAACCGCAAATCCAGCACATACACCATCAACTCCAGAACCCACACCAGCAGCAGCAGCAGCAGCAGGACCAGCAGATACACCAGCAGTACCAGCACCTACTCCAACAGCATAACCGAAGGCAGCTTGGGGACAACCAGCAGCAGCAGCAGCAGCTACAGCTCCAATTCCAGCACCAGGACCAGCCGCAGCCCCAGCAATACCAGTCCCAGGTACAACATCATTTCCAACATCAGCCACAAGACCAACTCCTGCGCCAGAACCACCAGCAGCACCAGTTTCAGCTCCAGGAAGAGGGGCTACAGAGGTGGAGTTTTCCATATCAGTTGGGTCCACCAATTCCGGGGTCGGGGGTATTTCCAAGAGTAGTTGACCTGCCAGAGGAGCAACTGCAGCAGCAACTGCAGCCTCGGGATATAAACATATATTCGTCTCAACCACCGCTACACCAGTACCAGGAGGGACATAGAACAGGACACAAAAAGACCGCATCATGGCCTCAAAGAATAGGAACGCAGAGGCCTCCTCCACAGAGTGGAAAAAGGGAAAGGAGCAGATATACCCGCGTGGAGCACAGAGGGACTAGACGCAATTCCAATCGCACTAGCGAATCTAGGGAGATAGAACAGTCCCAACCGCCAGTGACAACAGGTCGACCTCAATCTAACTTAGCGCAGGAAAGTTACAGCAATGTTGACCATCCTCTGGGGCCGAACCAAACTGAAGCTGTTGGAAATTATCCAATCCAGGGAGTTGAAAATCAAGTCGGGTACCTTGGCCAGGGAGCGAGCAGGACTACGACCATAGGAACTCCTGCATCCAGAAAAAGCCCTGGTCGGACGCCAAACCACACGGGGTCGCAGAGCGATGGCATTGATGACCATCAAACTGAGGATTCTCGTGGTCCAAATTGTCCTGTCGGGGTTATGCAAACTGGTAGGTTGCATCAAATGTCCTCGCCTGAAATGAACCCGCAACGGGCACAACTTGGTAATGACCCACCTGCTCTGCAACCACATTTGGCGACGACGGGACCCTTGGGAAGCAGTGGGGTTTCCCCGTCGTCAGTGCAAGAGGTTGAACGGAGGACGCCGTGGGAATGGGATGCAATTCTTGCGAACCCTAATAGTATACCACACCAGAGAACAACTCACGCAAACTCGGAGATGCGAGATTCCAGAGGCATGTCAGCAGAAGAACATGACGCATTATCCAACCCGCCAGATCCCGGGCAAAAGTCGTCCCGATCTTCTTCAGGCCCCGTTTCGCCGACAATAATGGCACCCATAACTAGTACTGGCGAGGACCCGCTGCTCATGCTGCTGAGAGCGGCTGAAATGATTTTAGGCCCATTGATACCCAAAGGCATGTCCTCAAATGCAAAGGAAGCTGGTGGTGAGAAGCTAACTGCAAGTCAGAAAGTGCTCCCGCTCCCCGTTCACTTCAGTCTTCCTTATGCGATGAGGACGAGAGACCACTCAAACCCGAACGCAGTTCGTCAACTGACTCTGCCAGCTCTAACGAATCCTCGCCGTAATATCAAAGCCTTGCGGTTACCACCTTTGGCACAGGCGTTTCGGAATGTCAATGAATGCAGTGAAGGCTCCGATGCTCCTCCTAACGATAAGCTGCAGGTAGAGACCTTCGATTCCCAAACCGTAAGACAATCTAGTTTTAAATGCAGGGGCCACCAAGACCGGTTCGTCAGCGCGGCAGAGCGTGCGCAGTCTGATTTGTTGTCATTATCTAATATTTCCCAATTATTTATTATGAGAAAACAAGAACTTGAAGGGGGTAGCGGCCAAACCCCATGTCGAGGTCCAGGACTTGAGGGAGTCAGATATCAATATGAGGCCCCGTTTAATATTTTCCAGGAAATTCTCAAAAGGCCGGAGCTGGCTTTGCTCGTAACGAGGCATCTGCGTGTACAGGAGCTTTTGATTTTATATCGTACTTCCAAAGATTTCCATCATGTGGTGAACACTCGCTTTACAACTGTTATCCAGGCACAGGCGTGCGCACGTGCTCCGGAGGCCGCGAAAATATTTCCGCCCCGCTGCTATGCAAAACTCTGCATTCCAGACCCAGGTTTACGCCCTCATCCTGTTGCAAAACGTGCCGCTTTAGGAGAAACTCGAAAAGTTCCATCCTTCCGCTGGTTGCTCATGGTATGTTTTCGCGAAATGGTCTGCCATGAGATTGTCACTATCCTAGCGGAGGATGGCGTCCCCGTGCCAGACCGCTGCACATCAACCATGAAAAAGATATGGCTCCTCATGGATATTCCAGATAACGCACGGCGAATAGCACTAGTTCAAAACCACGAGATATTCACGGATGTCGATCTCTTTTTCGCCACCTTGTTTTTTGTCAAGCTCGACATGCGCTTCACTGACCCAATCACTGGTAGTGGGAAGGATGGTATGCGCCGCTTGCTACTCGCACAACCTAGCCTTTCCATGCTATGGCGGACACTGAAACGGACAGCACTGATCAGCAAGCTAGACGTCATGCGGTTATTCGCCCGTTGGAAGTACCAGCTACGCCAGGATCAGCGGGGGTTAAGTATCTTCGGCGTTCCAGCCCATGAGGTAGGCATCGTACAATACCAATGCTGGGGCCGGACGGGGAATCGAGTACCGCTGCAGAGACCGGATGAGCTGCTGCTGAAGGAATCGATCCGGAGGGGGTTAGATTTGCAACAGAGGTATACGGATATGTTTCTGTGGGGGTATATTAATCCTAGGACAATGCAGGACTACCTGCCTGTGCTGCATAAGCGGCAGATGGAGAGGATGGAAGGATTGGAGGAGCTGCTTGTGCCTGTAGAGGATAGGGGGAAGGTGGAGGTTGGGAAAGTTGTTTCGAAAAGGGTTAGGGGGTGATTTTGATGCTCTTAATGCATTCTTTTTTCTGGTGATTTTTTCTTGTTCCTTTTTTATTTGAATCTCCTATTCTTCTTGGTTTATGCGATTGTTGGCTGGTTATACTTAATTGGGTATGCTTGAATGGCATACAATCACATGTTGGCTGTGGTACCTGCATATGGTAGTTAGTGGGTAGTAATGAATAATAGTTAATGGCCTGGATTGCAAGATATGATCTCCTTCGTATGTCATATGTCATTCCTTTGCCTTAAGACGGACGGGGCTGTGGCATGTTTATAGTTATCATAGAATCGCGGTTGAAGGGCCCAAATCACATGACAATTTGGATGACTAATCTTACCACGTGACCCTTCCAGCTTCGGAACCTTGTAAGCGAGAGCCAGCCCGCCCAACACCGCTCGTCTCCAACGCACCTCCGCTCCGACCAGTACCGCCCGCCCAGCAACCGGCCGTCTTCTTAGACAGTTTAACCGGGATTCTGTTTGGAGACAGACAGAGGTATGTACCTAGTGGGGTTCGTATCTGGAGTGCTCGCGTCTAGCGTCTCGTTGCGATGTTCTTGGTGATTCCGCCGCCCTTAAATTTTCTCCTCGAAGACCTAGGTGCCTCGACGTCCTAAGTTCACTGAGTGTTTTGGGGAATGTCGACAAACGATGAGCATCTGCGTCTTTAGGGGGCCCATGCAGCGCCATGGTGCACGATATCTGAGGGGCGTTTTCCTTGACCAGCGATAGATGGATAGGATGGATGGGTATCCTTTTCGTACTTTGTAGTTGGTGATGTCCGAGGCCTTGTCAGCCGCCAAATAGCCGTCAACATCACCCCCCGTCCTCCGGAGTGTCCACACGCCACTGCGCAGAGCCCCCTCCACCCTACGCTGCTTCGATCCTTCTATTTGAGAAACGCGACTGCTTCCGCGCCTGGGTCTAAATCTAGTTGATTTCCATGTCTTGACGGCCGGAGGATGGCCGTTGTTGTGCCGTTGTTGAGGCTGGGAGGGCACTTTTTGGCATATTTTGTTTTTGCAACAGCACACCCCGTTTGCTGGCTAGCACGGGGGTTCATTTGCTCAAATCAATTGTAAAATGACTATTGCCAGTCCACGTCTGGAACATACAACATCGCGACGCTCAATTGCTGCCATCGTCCAGGCCAGCCCCGCGGTACACCCCCATTTTAACTTCAACATGTCACATGGACTACGGGAGAAGATTAATTGTACAGCGCGATGGAATATGCTGAGGGCATGTACAGATAGGTACGTCACTCACCGTGGTGTATGTTCCCTCACCTACTAGACACTCTCTTCTATTGGCACCTTTACTGCTACTGCTACTGCTACTGCTACTAGACCACAAGGTTGTCTCGCTCAATGGACCGTATATATAACAGCACCTGAGCTAAAGAAAGACGGGGGATCTTTAGGAATATGTCCTATCGACGACTGGAAATGTTAACTCCACATCAGCCAGAGGAGTTTTTTGGTGGAAACTACAGCCCACCTCACATAAAGGAGGGGGAAGACTTGCATGTCGGATCAGGATATATTGCTTCTTTTCCATACCGTAGATAGATATGTGTGTGACATGATGCTGCTAAAGTGCAGCAGCCGTGAAAAAGACAAAACAACAGAACAACATCAGAATGTCCTGGATTCCCTCGACAATGAACCAGAGACTATTCGCAGCCTGACTGGCCCACAGAAGCTGTGAGAGAGTGAGAGCTACGAAAAGTGATATTTAGCCACTGGACGTGCTCCGTGACAAACTCTCGGAACAAATGGTGTCCAACCCCATTGGCAGGGAGAGAAACTCAGATGGGACGGGAATATATTTATGGGAAAACCACAGGACAATCTCTGTATTCCCACAGTGGTTAAATGGGAGGATGCTGGGGCTTTTCTTTTTTTTTTTTTTCCTGTGGGCGCTGTTGTTGTTTTGGGCTGTCATCAATTTGGGACACAATCGTAGACTCACCACTCTTTGCAACCGGCGGACTCATTTGCTGCTGGAGCTACCAAGACACGGGCGGTAACCACCAGAGCTACACACCAACCCCCCCAACAACGCCTCTTGCAACCTACAACAAAAGCTCTCCAACGGCAAATTTGACGGAACAGGATTATCAACCTGCGGCGCCAGACTCTGACTATATATATAGTCTTGCAACTCACTGTCTCATTGAGGAACATCTGATATTTACTACAAAGCCCTGTCGCGCTACTGGAGCCTCCAGACCGCTACAGCCAACCACTCTCGCATATCCTAGGGGTCCATCTGAAACTGTGGCAGGCCTTCGGATCTGAGAATATTGTTTGGATTGCATGTAATCCCAGCGACAGATAGGGAATTTCAACAGCAAAAAGAGAAAAGCAAAAAAAAAAAAAAAAAGAAAAGAAAAGAAAAAAAGAAACCGAACTGCGCAGTGAGTGCCTGTGGGCGCCCGTTGCTGACTCCGGTTGACGCCAAGCCCTCAACGCCGCTAGCGCAAAAGGAATCTCCAGTATCGCCAGTCCTTCTATTCCGCACGACGTTTCTTGATCAACCCCCTCTCTCCCGACACAACTGCTGCCAACTTATCCCTTCAACCGATTCTTAACCAGATGCCGCTAACGATTACATGGCTGGGTCCCGAAGGAATCCGCTGATGAAAGACCAGTGGAGAGCCGACGACGACCACAAAGAGAGAGACGACCCACATCCACATCACAGAGAACGAGACAGAGAAAGAGACCGCGAACGGCCTGAGCGGCGTCCACGATCACCGCCGGCCTCGCGTCGTGGGGCAGGCCGTGGCCACGAAAGATCTAGAGGCCGTGGTGCTTCATTCGCTAATCATAATCAATCGTCCCGTCGTCCCCAGACAGGCCGGAGGGGAGATAATAAGAAACACATTAATAGCAATTATAATAGTAATAGGAACAGACGACTTTCTCCTTCCTCTCACATCAGGGCTGCAGACACTGAACAGCGAGATTCTACGCGTCAGCCAGAGGCTCAGGTAACTTCTCGGGCTGACCACAAAAATTTACCACCACAGTCTCCTGCCCCGCCCCCCAAGCGGAAACGAAGTCGGAGCATTTCGCCATCTCGCCCTCAGCCGCACCCACGCCCCAAGCGGCGAGACGGTCGTAATCGAGACCGCCCCGAGAGAGGCAGAGGTCGACCCAGTCGCAATTTCTCCCCGAGGAGGGCCCCGATTCCCCGTGGCAAGGATTACCGACCGGCGGACCTTCGTTCTGAAGTCTCGACATCCGACTACTTGCAGTCTCGCCGCAGGCGTTCCAGATCCCGAGATTCATTCATAGAAAGACGCAGCCTATCCCCGCGTCGTGTTTCTCGGAGTCCTCCGCCTGGAAAGGACTACGTGGATCATTCCCCGCGCCCTTCATCCCGTCACTCCTTAGTGTCAAGAGGCTCGCGGCAATCACCACCGCCGAACTATCGAAAAAGCACAGAAATGCAATCTACGCGTCCAATCCAGTCTATTGTGGATGACCCACGCCGCTCTCCATCCCCTCTTCGTCCCATTCCTAGCTTCGATGCTGGGAACCCGAATCAAAATACCGACAATGATGCTCGGATACGGGATACTTTTCAAAACCACAGTATGCGTGGCTCACGCCGACCATCTCGTCCACAGGTCGATACACGCCAATCTTACAATACCTCGCCACAGTATGTGACGCCCACGAGCTCCCGCCTTGGGTCCCCGCAATCGGGGTCTCCGTACAGTGGTAGTAGGGGATCGTGGACTGGCCAGCAGCCATACCATGGGCAGCAAGGGTTAGTAAATCGTACAAACGCCGGGTATTCATCATGACTTGAAACTAACGATGTAATTCAGACAAATGGGCGGCTATTCGCCACCTTATAGACAGGCGACTTATCCCCCTCCGCAGGGCGGGTCTCAGGGACAGTATTACCAAGGCCAGCCGTATTCCGCAAGCGCAGCCCACGGACAACCAGGATACTCTAGTCAGACATATAGAGGTGGCCCTCCGGGATATCGGGGCACTCAATATAATCAAACCCAGGATCGTCGATTTTCTGGACCAGGTTCGCAATCATATGGGAACGCGCAGCCACAACCACAACCCCAAACACAAACCCAACAACAACAGCAACAACGGGGAAGAGGGAGCCATTTTAACAATCTGCAATGGACTCCTTCCGGTGGACGTGGCCGCGGAGCACACGGACCTCCTGGGGGCTCGCTTCAACATCCTCACCTTCCAGATGAGCGCTTATCGCCTGAAATTGACGAAGATGATAACCCATTCCGCCCATCCAAGGATTTACAGGTGGAAGACGAAGACTCAAAGCCCAAACCGGAGAAGCAAGATTCAAAGAAAATGCCGCCTCCCAATCGACAACAGGGTGCCCCTGCACAACCCAAAGAGAAAGAATCAGGAAAATTCAGTTTCGCTTTCAAATCAAAGGCTCCGGCCCCGGCTACGCCTAAGCCAGTGCCCGACCTTGCACAAAGGATGCGTGAACCCCCTCCAAAGGCGGTAGAGACAACGAAGAACAAACAATCGAATGCTCCTCCACCGAGGGAAAAGTCTAGTAATCGGCTGGATCGAAGAGATGACAGACGAGACTCGCGGAGAAACGACCGTCGGGTTGACAATCGAGGAGAGAGGTATCGTGATCGACGGGATGAACGACGGGTGGAGCCCCGACATGAGAGACGGCCAGAGCGATCGCCAGAACGTAAGAAACCGAAGAAAATCCTGAAGCGAATGAAGCCACGTCCAACGATATCTGAAGAGTTCTCCAAGTCCGACTCTGTCTACTACCGAAAACCCGGAAACGAGTCGGTTATTGGAGCGGGAACATACGGCAAGGTGTTCAAGGCCATTCATGTTTATACTAAGAATATGGTCGCGCTGAAGAAGATACGTATGGAGGGTGAGAAGGATGGGTTCCCCATTACGGCCGTTCGTGAGATTAGACTGCTCCAACATCTCCGGCATGATAATATTGTCTGTCTGCAGGAGGTTATGGTAGAGAAAAACGAATGCTTCATGGTGTTCGAGTACTTGTCTCACGATCTGACTGGCCTCATCAACCATCCGACATTCTCTCTCACAGCTGCCCATAAGAAACATCTTGCACGACAAATGTTCGATGGTTTAAATTATCTACACCACCGCGGGGTGCTACATCGAGACATCAAAGCCGCGAATATCCTCATCAGTAATCAGGGACAACTGAAATTTGCTGATTTCGGCCTCGCGCGATTCTTCTCTAAGAGCCGGCAGCTAGACTACACCAACCGCGTCATCACCATCTGGTACCGCCCACCAGAACTCTTACTAGGAGAAACTCGATATGGCCCCGCCGTCGATATCTGGAGTGCTGCATGTGTATGGGTAGAGATGTTTACCAAGAAAGCCGTGTTCCCCGGTGAGGGTGGCGAGATCAGTCAACTTGAGAAGCTATACAATTCATTGGGCACTCCGACCCGCGCTGACTGGCCTGATATTGTCGAAATGCCGTGGTTTGAGCTATTACGCCCGACAGAGCGGAAACCACGCACCTTTGACGATGTTTATAAAAATATCCTGTCCCCTGCTGCCTTAGACCTCGTTTCCAAGATGTTCCAGTATGATCCTGTCAGAAGACCCTCTGCTGAGGAGGTCCTCACACACCCATACTTCACGTCAGAGGAACCAGGGCCCCAGCAGGCTATTGAGTAAGTTTAATTTTCTGCTATACTGATCATGACAGCCATTCTTTTATCCTTTCATCCTCTGTAACTAACAACCCTTTCACTAGGCTCGCAAATGTCGAAGGCGACTGGCACGAATTCGAATCCAAAGCCCACCGCAAGGAAAAGGACAAAGAAGCTCGTCGTGCAGAGCATCAGCGCGAAAAAGAAAAGCGTAGAGTGAGCGGTGGCGCTGCTCGGAGCAGTGATGGGCGGGATACCAAGCGGGCACGCATAGAGGAAGGTACCTCTTCTCAGCTTCAGTCGCTTGAAAATTGAAAGTAGAGATCCTCGTGGTATTCATTTATAGCTCCACACCGGAACTGTTCCCCCCTTGTTTTCTCAAGAAGGGAACTGTCAGTTGGGTGGAGAAGCATAGTGTTTCTTTTTTTATTATTTTTTTTTTAATGCCTTATTTCTTTTCAAACAAATTTAAGCGGCTCCTTTTTCTTACTTTTTTTTTTCGTACATGGAAACACAAAAAGGAAAAGCATGTTTGGCGATATCCGTTTATATAACCTTTATTTTTTTTCTCCCCCAAATTGGGGATGTGATTGCCCATTATGAACTCATTTCCCCCTTTTTGCCAACTGCGTACATTATTCTGCTCTATTTCTTTCAAGATCCTTCTCTATCTCTGCGATCCTTTTGTCCTATACTACCCAGTTTTTATTTTGCTCTCTCTCCCTCTTATTCACCACCTCCACAGTACTTTCCGTATGATTGCAACCCACGGTGTTTCTTGTTTAGCTACTTGTTTGGTGTCATGAATATTCCAAGTCCCATTGACGTTATAGCATTTGAATGATATAGTCCCAAACCTCTTTCTGCCTCTCTGACCCAGTCCTACAGGCAAGGACCTTTGATCGAGCTTCGGTCTATGTCTTTCAGCTACCCAACCAAGGTGAATTTTCGAGGTGGGTGTCAGGCGTGATAAATACGCCGCCTATGGGAAAAATCTCTGATACAAAGATGATGTCTACGCACTTGTATGCATATGAGCGGGGGAATGAATCGAAGACGCGACATATCATACGGTATCTGTGATCTTAATATAACTATGTCTAATAGGGTACAAGATAGCGAGGCGGTGCGTTCTATTGTTCTTCAAATACGCGCCCTGTAAATCCAATTTTATGTATATATCGCTAACAAACTGTGGTATCAAAAGTAAAATGCCCATGCCATATGAGCAGGAGGGTATCGCAGTCAAACCCGGCGAATCATTTCTATATTGACCTTCTTTTCTTTGCCTTTTTATTTTTATTTTATTTTTTTCTAATTTTCCCAATAAGCACAGGGATGTATGTCACAGGCTTGAAAGCCTGACACCTGCCCGTCTGCACTGACACTTCAACCCATTCACATCTTGGGCCCATTAGCATAACTAATCCCCCCCCAAAACTCCCCATGAACCACCGCGGCAATTAACTGATACGCAATCGCCGTCCTGGGCGGCAAGCGCAGCCCACCCTCTTTATATCCCGACCCAGGTTTCCCCGACAAATCGCTGGTGCCCACTTTCAACGCCTCCTCAGCTTCCGCAATAGAGAACCACCGCGCATCTTCTAGTTCTGGGTCATGCTGGAGCGAGATGATTTCATGCTCCGGCTTCGCCACCTGCGCAATGGCGCCAATCATCAGATTGGCCGGGTACGGCCATGGCTGCGTGCTATGGATGACGACACGGGACACCACCACGCCAGACTCTTCCCACACCTCGCGCCGCACTGCATCCTCGACGGATTCGGCGGGCTCAATGAACCCGGCCAGCGTCGAGTACCAGTTGGGCGGGTATCGCTTCTGCCGGCCCAGAAGCAGGCGTTGGCCGTCGTGGCTGACGACGACCACGATGATGGTTGGGTCAGTACGGGGGAATGAGATGTTTGAGATCGTTGTGCGGGTGCTGCAGGGCGGGCGGGGACCTTGGGGGTCGTGCGGTGGGCAAGCGCGCTTTGTGCCCGCTTGGACAGACATGGTTAGGTGGCCGCAGGTGCCACAGTATATGTTGCGCGTGTTCCAGTCGAGAATGGCGCGGGCTTGGGCATATATGGCGGCTATGTCGGCGGGGAGGGTGGTGACGGTGCGGCCCCGGAAGAAAGACAAGCCCTTGGCTTCCATAGTTGCGATAATGTCCTTGGCAGGTTGTTCTATTGTGCCGCGCGGGGTGACGTCTAGGGCGAAGAAGGGGGTTCCCTTATACGTTTTGTAGCTCAAAGTATTTTCCGTCTGCGTCTCGTCTAGACCTAGGAATATCAGGAGGGGCTTTGTGACGGAGGGGTCGAAGTCCTTGAGGGCGTCTACTTCGGATTTATCGAAGATGTCTTCGGGAACGAGGGTCTTGACATCATTGTAGGAAGCGTAGAAGAGCTCTGAGGGGCTGCGGATGAGGGGGTTGAGCTCGTTGAAGAGTAGAAAGCGGCTTGTTGGGTGTCTTATCGCTGCTGATAAGAATGCGCCATCTGCTCGGAGGAACGAGACCCGGTTTAAACGCGAACCTGCGAAGGAGATGCTAGGGCTTAGCCATATCGTTGTACTACAGAGATGGGGAGGAAATGAGCGAGATAGTTACTCACTTGAGAAATAGTTCACTGTCTCCTTGCCAAACTTGCGAGAAAGCATGGAATCCAGCTGGGCATGCGTGGGTGCGGGTATATCAGCAATGGCTTCAGAGGGAGCGGAGGACATGGCTATTTGTTCCCGGTGAAGACAATGGGTTTTATGTATATGAGCTCTTCTTCCGGGTTCAGGGTGTTAAGACAGAAAATGGCTTGACAAAAGTGTGTAGATGCGCATTTGCTTGCTCTCGCTCGTCGTCTTCCCCGCGATTATACGATGACTCAGCGGATTGACCTCGGCATTCCCCAAAGGGGAAATGTTGAAGGCTTTCATTTAGATCCAAAAACATCGCGAAAGTCGAGATAGCGGAGGGGAAGTTGCTGCATTGATTGGAATTCCGCGGGGTGTCAGACACTCGATGTATTAGAAAATTTTGCTACCATGGCAAAAGATGTTTTAATTTTACGCCAGGGGAACATGGGATGGTTGCATTTAGGGCCGTGGTTAGGATAATCAGTCTAGGTTCCCAGCATGCATCGACAGAGAGAATGCAATTTCACAATCATCTTGGTCACCAATTGTACCAAATACCTTGCAATTGAAGGCATCACCAGCCTTTGTCAGCCTTGAGAGACGAAATTTGCTTTACACTGATAGATTGACAACTTGAAATTTGAGGCTCGGAGGATTAGCCGAAGCTACGATTAACTAACGTTAGTTAACTGGTTAAGTTAGTTAATTATAAAATCCGCTGATGTCAGCTTTCGCTAGCACAGAGGAGGACGGAGTAACTCCACAGAGGCTATTATTGCGCCAACGGCAGTTTGTAAACGGTAAATGGGATCACTCAGGGGGCGTGTTCGGTTGTACGTATGTATGTACATACAAGTACAAGTCTGTTTTAGTTATAACCTGCACGTAAAAAGTGGATAGTATTTTAAGTGTACAGCAGGAGTCATATAATCAACAATGTGAGCCCCCGCACTACTACAGGATAATACTCAACCTGGCAGCATACTTGTATATAACTTTACACGCTCCCAACCTTGCCTTATTACAGTTACAACCCCTCACTATATGATCTAGTTACACCATTGAAGTCTAATCGCGTGTAAGTGGAGAAAAAAAAGGGATATGATATAAGAATGGCAGACTGAACACAAGGCCTCTTTCGTGCAGACAATGTTGAATGGAGTGTGTAAGATTGTGTAAGTGGGGTCTTTTATACAAGATTGTACGAGGTTAAGCGTGCAACCGAACACTCCCTCTAGTTGGATCCGGTTGATGTGCATTATTATTATTATTATTCTTATTCTTATTCTTATTATTTTGAGCCAAGCCATCGCCCCGAACGAGAAACTCAGCGAGGATCGGGAATCACTGCGAAACGCGTCCATTATTGCCTCAACCACCAATTGAAAGCTTGACGGGGCGATTTGAGCCAGCAGAGGTTTCTTGGGAGAATAATAATAATAGTTTACGGCCGCACATGCAAGCGTCCCGTTATTATTATTTCCATATGCTCATGGGCTTGAGTGAGTGTGCCTCAAGGAGCGGGGAATTGCTTTGGCGCGCGCTGTGGCTTCCGAGGATGATGTTCCAAGTGCAAGCCGAGATGCACGATATTAACCGACCAGAATCTGGGCATTGATGATTCGCCCGATTGCGTTGGAAAGGAGGTGTTATTGGCCGGAGCCGCGAGGGAGGCGGCAGGGTGGGGTGAAGGAACCAGATCTTTCCCCCGAATGGGCGCCATCTGGCAAATATCGGGATATCAATCATCTAGGCAACAAATAGGACGGGCGTTCAGCGATTTCTAACTCACATGAAACACACGAGGGGGTCAGCGTCTGTTGCACTTCTTGCAAGTCGAAGCGTGAGGGCGTGCTGACAGGCTGGTGATGTCTTCTTCTCGTTGGCTCCCCATCGGTCATGGCTCCAACCAGTACACTGGACCATCAAGCGACAAGACTAATAAACCTTCGTCTCCAAAGCCAGCGCGTCAGCCAGAATGGCCATCCGATTTCCAGAAACCCAGCTGGCCAGGTGCAGACAGACCCATAATTATTGATCAAGTTTAGGTTTTCTGTTCTGATGAGGCTTGCATATTCTCCGCATTGAGTTTGTGCTAAGCTCTTGTTTGTTTATTATTTAGCCTGAGTTCGACATCCTTTCTCCCAAACTTTGGAAATCTTAATTGCTATAAAAAAAGAAAAGTGTTCTATGCGGCCCCATAATGTCCGTGGAATCCAGGGCTACTGGATATTTTTATTCTAGTAGCGCCTGATAAGCTGCAGAGGGCGCAGCAGGAGACGCCTCATGAACGTTTAAACTACCAAGTTTTGCAAAGTTCTGCCTAAGGGGCCTGACACGATGGCGTCGTATGTTCGTATGGCTTCTCACTAAGCTTGATCAAATGCAGAGGGTGGGGAAAGGGGTAACAAATACAAACGGGAAGGAGAGATAACTGCCTTCTGTCTTAATTTACTTCATAGTGTCACAATATGTTTTGAATTTATTCAGATGTACGCAGTATATATCTCACATTGTGTTTTGTTTGATCCTTATTTCTTCACGAAAATTCATACCAGGGTGTCAGATTAGATTGTCATAAAATACAGAGTAAGAGAAATTGCAACAGTGAATAACAAAGGAAACCCAAAATACGTCGTGAATAATATTAAGTTCCAGCCTTAAAATGAGTGCAAACGCCCGACATTGATTAACGCTAAGAGTCAAAAAGAAAAAGAATGGAGAGGGAGACGGGAGAGCAATAATGTGATAACTGCATGCAGGTGGGCGTGGGGTCGAATCCCGAGAACTCGAGTAAGCAAAGAGGTGGAGAAAAGTGGAGATGGTTTAATCTTTCCAGAACCAGCCACCCTTCCTCTGGGAGCCACGATCGTTAGTCTGCTCGGCGCTCTGCAGCTGTGCCTGGCTGGTCTCACTTCCTGATGGTGGATGGTTGGCGTTTTCCACCTGAACGGTTTCATTGCTTTCTTCTTTTCCATCAGAGAACCGCTTCTTTCGAGTAATGGTAGTCTGCACCGAGCCGTCCGGCAGAGTCCTTCGCTCGGTGGTGGTGATGGTGGAAGTAATGTATGGAGACGGTGGAGAAGGCTGTGAGGCTTGAATGGAGGCTGTATCGTTGGAATTTACGTCCGAGCCATCACGTTGGAAGTCGAAGTCTTTATTCTCGACTGTATGCTGCCATCGCCTTTGTCCTTCCAATAGCCGTTCCCGTCTTCTGAGTCGGTCTTCAATTATCATTCCCATCAGTGGGCTTACTAAGGGAATATCCTCCTCGTCTGATGGTTCATTCACGCGGTCCAGAAATTTCTCGTACAGATCGAGTTCCGTGAGCCACTTGTCGCCCTGCATAGAGTGTTCCCGATCATCATATTCGTGGGAGGACCCAGGCCGAGACATCTTCCCTTTTCCTGCTCCATCGGTGGGCTGGCTGTATCTGTAGTTGAAATAATCGTTTGGACCCTTCTGGACATGAGTCCAATGGGGACCAAGGCTACCTCTGCCGATCATACCGGATATCCAATCTTTTGGCTTTTCTTTTCTGACGACCGCCCCCAAGTCACTATTTAACATATCTTTGCCATTTTCTATGCGCAATAGGTCTTCGAAAGCTTCTCGCCAACGCGGGGTGTCAGACTCGTGAGCCTCATGAGAAGGTATTAATGCGGAGAATAGCGAAGAGAGGGGTTTCTCGTATGGCTTGTGCCGCATATTTTTCTGGCGTTCGAGGTGGAGTGGGGAGTACGGAGAAAAGAGAAGGTACGAGATGGGCCAACCCTGGAAGGTCGAGGAGGATAGGAAATCGAAGGAAAATGGAAAGCTGGAACGGGGTAGAATTGAGAAGAAGTGCAACGGGTCAAGAGGCCACAGGTTCTCTAGCGGCGAATCAAATATAGACGACGGAAATTGATGCTCAAAATGTCGTCGACTTTCTAACCACGGTACATCAGATGGGTCATTCCCATCAGTGTAGGTAGTCGTACCACCATCACGCCCACAGGTGCACTTTTCAGAGCTGTGTCGTGAGCCGCTCGACTGGGAGTCTTGAGTACCAGCCCCAGTTTCTGTTGCGCGGAGCCTATGGTGATGGAATCTGACTGCGGGATCGCCTCCCTGGATGTACATCCAATCCCTTGGTGAGGGAGGGGAAAATGCGGAAGGAAGTCCTATCAACGATTGTAGTAATGCAGAGAAATGCTCATCAGCATAGCGGCGAAGTGCGATAAAGGTGTTTTCTTCATCGGGTTGGTGGTGGCCTTTGGAAGGGTTGGAAGAATGGGAGTGATTGCGGTCAGCAGAATCCGCCATGATCACGTCCACGAATCTGCAAGAAATAGGATGGAAGTACTCCGTATCCGTATGAAAAATCGAATAATCCTCAGATTATCTGCCAAGAATAAAACGTTGCCTGACGATGCTGCGTACGGAGTAGCCCAGGTTGGCTTGTTCCGGGTCCGTTAGCTAACATTGCTGTTGGGGACGATGAGTGAGGTCGTTGAGCGCGGGAGAAGAGTTTTCCCGAGAAAGTTGCCCCACCAACCGTTCTCTGACTTTTCATTGGTCAAGTCGCTTCAGGCGAGCTCTTCAGATTAGTCATCTTGACCAAGCAGTGCAAAAAATGTGCGATCCAAGTCACATGACTCTATCAAGAGCAACATTTGTCCCGATTAGGAAATATTAGACTACGTTTTCTCCACGCCAGCCATCTGCAGCAGAATTCCCTAAAGCCAAGAAAACCTGGACTCCGCTCGCGTTGATGTCGGCATGAGCCATGCGGCAATTATTCGATGACTCCATCTAAGTCTCCAAGCGAAATGGACTGGTTGCGCCACAAGTCTGTTTTATCCCTGCCACTGCATCCTGGAAAGTGAGCGCACCAAACCCTCCCCCCGCGCGAAGGCAACCCAGCCGGGTCTATCGTGAGAGTGGAGAGGGGTGGTATTTTTCCCTTGCTCTCGAATATTTCTGGAATGTCAGACGTCGTCCCCCCCCACGAACTTGGGCTCATGGCACCCTGGTTACCCATGGCTGCCAGACTTGTTATCCTCGCAATTGGGTCGAATGATCCTTGCCGATCCTCAAGGATCGCAAATGCACTTTTCTAATAGTTTCCACGATTTCCCCCCTCGTCCGCCGTGTGCCGCCGTTCGGTAAGATTTTAGGCCTTGGCAATGGAGTACTTGGAGGAAACCTCAGACAGGCCTCAGCTGTTGGATGGTGCTTTTAGCGTCCTTCGGCTTCTGCTTGGAGTGGAGCATCCCTGTCCTCCCTTATCCTCGCTTCTCTCAAATGCTGGGCCTGTTATAATAATAGCTGTGTCCAACCCATCATCTGATTTTATAGTCCTCTTGAACCAATATCATTGTTCTTTTCTGCGCTCGTGTTTTGTTCATCATCCCCTATGGCCTGTGCTTTGTTGACTCTCTATAAGTAGCCCAACGGGCCACAACTGAATTATGGATCCTTTCAGCCCTCTGCCTATCCATCGACTTGAATCCAAAGGCCAAGCGGATTTGCTTGCCCGGCTAGATGAACTTCGCGATTTGGGATTTCGCCGCCAGCTGGCTCTGCCCCAGCTGGTGGTTTGCGGTGACCAAAATAGTGGGAAGAGTTCAGTATTCCACGCCATAACGGGTATCCCATTGCCAACGAGCACTGAACCCTGCACCAGGTTCGCAACGGAAGTTATCCTGCGGAGGTCCGATGAAGCCTCAGTTTCAGTGAAAATCCGACCAGGCCCGGATGCCTCCCCGGATCATCGGCACAAACTAGGAATATTTTCGAGGTCACATAACTGGCTCCAGGATATTCCCAAACTATATTCAGAGGCTAGGCTGATCATGGGCTTGATTTCCGATGGAAGATACTCACTGGATGTCCTACAGCTGGAGGCTTCAGGCCCTACACTACCAGACCTGACAGTAGTTGACCTGCCCGGCCTTATCAATCGACCAGGGCACCATCAACGAATGGAGGATGTTACTATCATCCAAAGCCTAACTGAGTCTTACATGAGGAACCCTCGGAGCATCCTGCTAGCCGTTGTATCCGCTGAGCGTAATATATCTCAACAAATTGTGTTACGGATGACGAAATCCTGCAGCCCTCGCACAATGGCAATCATAACGAAACCTGATCACCTAGAACCCGGCTCTTCTACCGAGGAAAACTACTTTGCACGTGCTAAAAACCAAGATACGCCCCTGCGCTTAGGATGGCACGTTCTAGTGAATAACGATTCTAACGAGAGGCGAAATCGCCATTTCCAACGTGATGACATGGAAAATTTGTTTTTCACTACCACAAGGCCTTGGAAGGCCCTTTCTCCAAATTCCGTCGGCATTCAGTCGCTTCGAAGTCGACTAAGCAAAATTCTACTTGGCCAAATCGAGTCGCAGCTGTCCAACCTGTCTACCGAACTTCAACAGGACCTTGAAACGAGCCGCGTGCTACTGCAAAAGCTCGGACCGGATCGAAAGTCGGGTGCGTCTCACCGATTGTATCTAACAACTATTGCTGAACGATATCAAGCCCTCGCACGATCAGCCACGGCTGGCGAATATCATGATTCCTATTTCCGTTATCACCCACAAACGTCGATGCGGCGATTGAGATCTGTAATCCGAAACTGGGCTGAAGACTTTGCTACGGATATGGAGGAGCGTGGCCATAGTTATAACCTGTACGATGATACGTCTTCGGATGGCCCACCACAAATGCCAGAACAAGCCTTACCCGATAGCCCTCAACCAGTTCCACGATCATCTTTTATTCGAGGACTTGCTGAACTGTTCAAGCAAAACGGAGGCCGTGAATCAAAAGGATTGGTTAATTCTCAGGTCATATGCGAGCTATTTATTCGCTATTCGCTCAAATGGACACCGATGGCAAAATCTCATGTATACGAGCTTTGGAAGAAGGTAAAGCGATTTTTGGACGATCTCCTCCATCACATTGCGGGTGCTACAGTTGGCGAAGCCATACTCAGGAAAATACTAGACCAGGAGATGAGCAACAAGTTGCAGGCACTTAACGGCAAAATAGACGAGCTAGCAACGCCCTTTAAACAAATTGTTCCTTCAACCTTGAATCGAAAATTAACTACGAAAATCCATCGACTTCGTGCCCTAAGTGGTCCAAACGGCATGGATGATAACATGGATGACGGCACTGAATTCAATGTTTATTCTGAAATTCTCGATTGCATGGAAACTTATTATGCCGCCACATTACCAGTATTCATTGACAATGTTGCTTTTCTTGCAGTGGAAAATTGCCTTGTGGCAAACTTGGAGAATCTTATTTCTCCGTCTATGATGGCACAATTGTCAACTGAACAAATCGAACGTATCGCAGCTGATTCCGACGACACCAGGATCGCACGAATGCAACTCGCCGACAAGGTTAAAGTGCTAGAACTCGCGGTGGACTCATGCAGACGTTGCGAAATGGCGGGGATCCAGTCTGCTGCGCAGAATTATCGTGAACCAGTTAAAAATGACTTAAATGACTACATCACGGCAGACACGCCTGAGCCATCGCCTGAACAATCACCGACACCTGATATCAGCCCTCCAAAAACGATCAGCTCGTCAAAAAATGAAGAGAACTCTAGAGCGGATGAATCTATTGCACTAAGTCGGTCTTCCAGTGAATCCAGTCGGAGCGTTTCTGAGCTCTCTCAGACTGAAGCAACATCCCCTTCCCTCATGTCCCCCTCCTTGATCGACACCATTTCAACAAGGCCCAAAAGCCCCACAAGGACTGAGTCTAGTTCTGGAGGTAGCAGGAAGGGATCGTTGCTTAGATCCGGCTTCCGAAAACGAATCCTCAAAAACAAACCCGCCAGCTCGATCATAGAAGATAATAAATCGAGGACCACCACCTCAACCCCGGACTCCGAACGGAAACCTGATACGAGTAAGAGAACCTTTTCGCCGGACACACTTAACTTTTTCATTTATAGTATGTCAATCTCTTAACTTCTTTCTGATATATAACACTTTTCAGGCTCCATCCATTCTTCAAAAAAATCGAGCCCCCGTCCGAAATACAATTATGGTACTCTGTATCAATGTGCCTACTATTACTACACCATGTAGATACAAAGGTGGGCGGGGATAGGTCTGCTTCACGTAGGGGCCTATCTACCTTTGATATCTTCCCCAATCCCCCCAATCAGCCTGATTTTTGTTTTTCCCTTTTCTCACTGCATGTTTTCAAAGTCATTTCTTTTACCTGCAACGATATCCATTTCCCTTTTCCTGCCCTTGTTCTCCCCTTTTTGCGAGCCTTGACGTTTTTCATCATTTTACCGGCGCAACTACCAATAGGGCCGGTGTCTTCTACATATACGCATCTATGTCTTACCTGATCCTTTGATTATCTCACTTTGCTCTCCTGTTTCCTTCGAAAAAAAAAAGGGGGAGAGGGGGAGAGGGGAGGGGGGGGGGGAGGGGGGAGGGCCGGGGGAGTTGTTTGTTTATTATTATTATTCTTTTTTTTGGACGGCATGGGATGGTTGGTGTATGAGAAACATAGAATGAAGTTGCGCTTATTTTCGGCGTTTTATTCTTTTTTCTAACATGATTCACCACTCAACAAACTCATTCAGTCAATGTAACATGGCGGCGCCGGGGCGGTAAGACCTCGGAATTGGCATGTTGAGGGATGATTATATAAGGGCAGCTGTTCGGGTGGGCTTGATCAACTACTTGATCAATGAGCTCTAGGCCTACAAGTGGATGAGACAGTAACAAAGATGCTAAGGTTCAAGTAGAGATTATCACTGATCTCTAGGATGATGACTCAGCTAGCTAGTAATAGAACTTCTCTAAGATTTAGTGACTTCTCACTCAGAGAATATATATACTATGGTAAATAGTTTATAACTATCATCCATCCACTGGCAATAATAGCAAATTGTCGTAATGCAAGTTAATTTGGGCAGGTGGGAAGGGGAGATTGATAAAAAAAAATTACAAAACAGCAAAATACCATGACCCTGTTCCATAACCATCCATGACTACCCATGGATAGGATAGGATGGTTGTTTACCTTTGCGTTATCTGTTAGCAACCATTCGCAATGTCCATAGCCCATGTCAGAAAACCCAGGATGGTTCGACAAACAAGTGAGAAGGGAAAGAAAAAAGAGCCCATTCTTTTCCCAAGCATGTTCCCGAGCATCTAGAACAAATGCACAAATGCACAAATGCACAGATTCAGCCCCCAGAATTGTTTCGCTCAGGCGCGCCTCTTTTATCTCTCCGCAACCCCTTCCCACGCCCGGTCGTCGCCAACATGCCTAATCCACATCTCGTCGTCGCCCTGGACGGAATCGATAACTTGATCAGAGAGGGGTGGATGTCAGCAAATAATAATTATTTTTTTTTTCTGTTAGGAAATATTAAAAGTAGTATTGCGTTGTTAAACTTTTGTAAAGAGTGTTTGTCAGCTCAATTGCAGGATTCAGGGGTGGTCGAAATGAACAATGTGCAGGCGGGGAAGATAACTAAGACTAGATTAAAAACCGGGGCATGGGAGCCTTCACAGGTTTATTATTATTGGGGTTTCCTTGGGACGAAACTTGGGAAAATGGGATTCAGGTTTCGGGCCTTCGGGAATTAAAATATTTATTGTAGGCTACTGGGGCAAAAGAGCTCAGTCACCACCAGCGCACTGCTGGTAGAAGGGCCGATCAACCCGGGACCCCCAACATTTATTTGTTTTTTGTTGTTTTTTTTTTTTTTTTTTTTTTTTTTTTTTTGGTTCTGGAACTCGGGCCATTTCGGGTAGACAGGGGTAAGGGCTTAGTGCAGCTAAACAGGGACCAAGGAGAGCGCTGGCTCGCAACGATGTAACTCCAGGTGAGGCGGGGGAGGGGTACAAAATGGATTTGGAGGAGTGAGAGCGCTGATAGGGCACAAGTAATGAAACCCGAGGAAAAAATGCATTTGGAATGAATTCATGAGGACTGAATGAGTTTGTCGAGCCTGTTAAAGTGTTCAAAAATCTGGAATAAAAGAACTCACCCATGTTCGCCAGCTTAATCCACATATCTCCCCTGACTAAGAACGCCTCTTGATACTTCTCATCCGCTTCAAACGGTTTACACAGCTTCTCCCCATACGCAAGCGTGCGGACAAACTTTGACACATGCCCGTCTTCCCGGGGATGGTGAATGGCCTGGGCAAACACTTCCTCCCACGATATTTTTGGTTTGTAGCTTGCAATTTCTTCCAGTCGGAGCTCTGCAGCACCACGAGAGGCGTACATCATGAGGTCCACACGACCTTTCCACTCCAGGACGCGTAGTTTGTTCTGCTTACTGATCCACGGCTGGGTGGCGAATGCAGCCAGGAAAATTGTGCTGGTAACGCAGTGCATGTAGAAAAAATCGAATTTGATCCTCTTGTTGGGACGCTGTGCTGCGCCAGCGAAATAGGCTGTTGATACTTTGAGTTACTCTCTTTTCCACAGTTCGCACCGAACCAGTGGAAAACAATGACAGGGGAACATGATTGATGAAGAGGGGAGGGGCGCATGTAGGCACGCACGCAGCATGGTTGGATATGCATGGTCTCTGTACCCTGGGATGGGAGCATTGGAGTGTAGGGGTACCACGGTTGTGTTTGGAGATAGGGATGTCACGTACCAACAGCGTTGAACAGTTCGGCTAGCTTCTCTTCCAGCTGGCCTGGACCCACTGAGAATTGGCTCGCAATTTCAATGATCTCGTCTGGAGCTCGAGCCAACAATCCGTTGATTTTATTCGGATCTTCCCAGCGCCCTGCTTCCCGCAATTTGGTGTTTGCGCGAATCTCCCGCAGGAGCTGAGAGAGGGGCTTCTTCCCCTCTTTCCCAACACCGCCTGCTACCTCCTCGGCAGGCAGGAGGAATGTAAGGTTTGATTCATGAACTGCAGTTTCGGCAAGTGCCTCTGCAACAATGGCTGGCTGGTTGAACTCGAAGCCAAATCCGAGCTGGATGAACGGGTGAATGACTCCTGTAGGGCAGGGTTCCGTTAGTATGCCAGCCAGTGACACGGGCAGGGAAACGGTGGGATGGGCGGAAAACCAGCACAAGCGCCATACCAGCGAAGAGCCGGACAAGCATATCATCCGCTAGCTTATCCCCGGCGAAAAGGTACTCATTCACCACTGGCTCTATCCCCCTGTTTTCAATTTGGCGCTGAAAATATGCTAGGAAGTTAGGATATTGATCCGGTATTCCTACATAAGAATTGAATTGGATCTTGTCACTCAGCTTCTGCACTGTCGCTTCATCGACTAGGCGACGAGGCAGCTGGTAAGCAGCAGTGCGGTCGAAAGCCTCCTGGATGACATCTGGGGACGCCCCCAAAGCATAGGTGGTTAAAATGTGGTGGGCCAGATGATCTGCCGGAGGTTAGTCTCATTGATATGGTTAAAGCTGCTGTACAAGGGACAATAGGGCGGAAATGTGGAGAGGATGGGACGGTTGCATATCCATTTTGGCCAGGATGAATATCTATATAGTTTGGTGAGGTTATCTGCCAAGCAGACCGTTGACTTGATTGAACTCAAATACGAAAAGAACGCATTGTTAATGTAACCTGAGGGGCTTGTATATCAATCTTTGACAAGCGGGGCAGCGTTCAGGAAAATTAGAACTGCAGATTCAAACAACCGAACATACTGTGAAAACCCTTATCGTTGTTAAAGAAAACATGGTATCTCTCCATATCCGCCTGCAACATTTCGGATGCCTTTTTTGCAGAATCGGCCTTCTGGTGAAGCCCGAGAAGCCCCGTATCGTTGGGGGACACGCTGATATGGGTGGCGGTAGCCATGGCTCTTAACGGGCTCAAGTTTCGCGTTTGCTTTGAAGATATGGGCGAAGTGCGACTTGGACTCTCGAGAGGGAGAAGGAGATGACCCAATGCTGGCTGTCCTCGCGGCTGCTTTCGGTGTATCCAGGATCAAGCACCTGGTTGAGGAAGTGAAGGCAGGCCTCTGTAGCGTTCTTCTGGATGCTCGGGTGGGTATCTGGGAACAACAAGGTATATTCTTAGCTGCCTGGTGCCGATGCCGTTGGACAGCGCCGATCATAAGGTGGAAATTTATAGGTTGCAGACAAAATAATGTGTCAAACTGTCTCCTTGATTGCTTTGCAGTTTCTCCATGCCACCCTAGCAGATCCGCGCAAGGGGGGTTTTATATATGTCCATTGGCGCCATCAAATGCGGGGCAGCAGTTAGGAGGGCCAGAGAGGGGAGAAGGATCGTTATTCATGATTCAACGCCAGAACACGAGCTTTTGTCCTGCCCTGGATTTTTAGAAGCCTCTGCGGTCGCGCGAACCCGTTGAAGCGTTTAGCCTAACCATCACATATGTAGCTACATTCTTTGGGCTTCATACCTAGGGGCTTTGAAAGCCCAAAAGGTGTTTATTGGTAAGCGACTCCGTCCAACACGGGAATGGACCTATGGCGGATGGGATATTGATTAGCAGTTTGGTGTTCGGCTGGAGGTCTGGACGTCCGAGTAAAGATCCAAATCAGAAATAAATATATGCCCCTGTTGGTGGAAACAAAGTCTTTGATAAGAATACAGAGTTGCGTAGTGCTGGTCTTGGTGGCGAAGCTGGTGACACCCTCCTGCGCCTAACTACGAGCGCCCTTGTGATGTAAATAGCACATCCGGCTCGTTGATGGCTTAGATAGAGATTGGACTGAATATCGTTTGAGTTTGGTTTTGAGAGTAGCTCAGAACGAGACAAGCTGAGAACGTAGAAGTTCTAAACGAGTTTAGTATTAGAAATGTGTGGACGTTCGATGTGTGAAGCTGGGTATGGTATACTGAGCATACTCTCCCAATATATGAATATTTAATCCCATTGAGATTTCCGTATATCTGATGTCATAGCGGTTTACGCGTAAGTGGGAGGTATGATCAAAAACACAGGAAATAAATAAATGATGACTTCATTTTATTGACTCTATTAGTACATGCCACAAGAAGGCGAGATAAACCCAGGCGATACATCTTATATCCGTCAGATCAATTCCCCTAGCATCCAATTCATCGTCCAAGTAGACCAGAGCCAATGGGAATCACAGAAAATATAAAATAAAATAAACAGTTATCTTAAATACCCAAAATCTCATACGTCCAACGGACGATTAAAGAATAAAGTAAACGCATTTCCAGTCTACTTTTTATCCAGACCAAGTGCTTTCCTTCTTTTCAAGCGATCTCTCTCAATCTTCTTGAATAGGGGGTGCTGTCCGGCCTTCTCCCTCAGCTGTTTATTCCTACTCTTATTATGTTCGATATACGCCATGTCCTCACCTCCAGCAAGGCCGCTCAAGGTCGCCGCGCTGCGTTTCACCGCCGCTTTCTTTGCTGCGCCTCGCGCTTTTGGCCCTCCTGAGCGCTCGCTGAAAAGATCGTCCACGACTTCTTCCACAGCTGCGGATGTCTCATTCTGCAGCATCACTTCCTGTAGAAGTTCACGACGTTCCGCTGGGGTGGCATATGCGAGTCCTTCAAGGTTTTCAATCCCTTCAAGGTGCGTGATCACCTTGAACGCGTATCCCTGGTCAACTAAGAAAGCTTGCCGTTTGGAGGAATAAAACATCTCATCTGTGTCTTTTGACACAAGCGAGTAGAAGAAAGCATTGAATCCTTCGTCGTTCCTTCGTTTTGCTCGTAGGATACGTCCGAGACGCTGTGCCTCCTGACGACGAGAGCCATAATGCGACGAGATCTGTATCAAGCAAGTCGCTTCAGGCAGATCTAGAGAGGTATCGCCAATCTTGGACAGGAAGATTGTATTAACTTGCTCGTTATGCTGGAAGTTCTCTAGAATCCGTAGTCGTTCGTTTTGAGGCGTTCCACCGTAGATGTAGGCCTTGTTCAATTTCAGAGCATATCGTTCGAGAGCGTAAACGTTGTCAGAGAAAACAATGACTTTGTCTCCACGCTTTTCGTGGTAATCGATCAAGAACTGGCACGCCTGGAACTTCCTGGGATTCATGATGTAGAGCAAAGCTGCCTTTCTGGATTTCTCACGCATATATTCTGTATAGAACTCTGTTGTCATGGGGCACCATACCTCGGCACATTGAACTTTGGCAATGTGCCCCTGTTCAGCCAACTCCATCCAGTTTGCTTCATACAGCTTGGGCCCAATCAAGAAATTTAAGTCCTTGATCTTGTCATCCTCACGCAGTAGCGTCGCAGTGAGTCCAAGTTTCGTCTGAGTAGCAATGGCCGAAGTGACTTTCCGGAACATCGATGCTGGGACGACGTGGACCTCATCTAAGATCATCAAACCCCATTCTCTAGATTGCATCCAGTCCATCATTTTCTCCGCATCATGGGAACGAGCCCTTGTTTGGGACACCATGGAGTACGTGGACACAATAATTCCAGTATTTCTCCGGAATTTTTCCTTGTTGTCAGACGTGAAAACGGCAATATCACTGGGGTCAATATTAGACCACCGGAGGAATTCGTTCCTCCACTGAACAACAGACATTGAGCTAGTGCAAAGGATGATAGTCCCTTTCTTGATGGTACAAGCAGCCGTTATACCGACTAGAGTTTTTCCTGCACCACAGGGTAGCACGATGATCCCGCTCTTAGCTCGTCCGTTGCCAAACATTTTACTCAAACTTTTCTCCTGGTAACTTCGGATTTGCGCATTAGGCTTCAAGTCGATGTCTAGAGTAGGGTTGATTTCATCATTTCTGAAATCATATTCCTCGAGAGCTGGACAGCCCATACTTTGGCACCGAGCCTTTACCGCTTCCACGGCAGTATTTGGGATCTCGAAGCTGTGAACCTGAGCTGGGTCGTCGTCATCATCCTCTTCCCTCAAATCAACCAAGAGGTCATCCTCCTTTGGCCGTCCATTTGTTTCTCCCTCCATTTGTTTCTGGTCTGGGTTTTGTTTCACCCCAGCAGCATCCTTAGTTCCGGGAATAACCAACCCTGCCATTTTGGGAGCGGCCTGCTGTATTATGCCCTCCGAATTTTGCAATCTCTGCGGCCCAATAACTTCATCTTGAAGTAGCATCTGCAAAGTGGCTGGATCCGAGCTCTCCACAAAAAATCTATTGTATTTCAAAACGACCTTAATCTTTCCATACGATTTGGTAAAATTAATGATGAAGGACTTGATCGCTTCCGGTAGCGGCGTTTTCGACAGACGATCTAGGAAGTTAATGATATCCCCAGGTAGTAAGCCCACCGATACTGCAGCGTACAGGCTGTTCCCCGTTAATCGATACTCGTGTAGATGCGTAGGCCTCGATAGAGGCTCAGCTATCGTCGTAAGGAAATCCTGCGCCTGGGATGCCAGGGGCGAGAAGCTTTCCAGGGTAATGGTACCCTTCAATGGCTCGATCCATAGTGGTCGGTTTGCATGGTCGGGCTTCAAAGGCAAGGACGAGAAATCCTTATAACCAAAATGTGGATCTTGTCGCTGGACGTCCGCTTTCTTCTTTTGGCTGAACGCCTGAAGAGAAAACTTCTCGACCACCTCTGCTCCCGGGCAAATGTACATTCATTTAGCAACGAAATGCACGCAAGCTTGAAATCAAAAGAATCCTCCCTAAGCAAGAGTTTGGACTCACGTTTTAAGCTATCACCGTCATATTCACTGTCGTCTGCAGCCCCTGAGTCTGAGTATTCATCGCTGCTCAGGACACTCTGGGGAGCAGAAACCGGGACCGGAGTGGATCGTTTGGAAGCCCGTCCTGAATTACCACCTACCAGAACTGGTCAGTGACAGTGAAAGCAAACCCTAGCAAACAAGGGATAAGCATACTGCCAGCTGCCTTCCTTTTTGGAGGCATACTATCGCAAATCACGTCTGGCGAGGTGGCGACAAACCCTCAACTTTACCTATGGTGTGTGTATTGCAGCCGTTACAGAGGCGACAGCATCCGGCTTCAGAGCAAAATAACTGCCTTATCCCAAGCACGTTATACCGGTGAGAATGTTGCTTATGAGTCTTTTCGCCGGTGGTTGTTGGCAAGAAAGAGAAACCGGTCTCCCGGCAATTGGTTTGAGGTTTATGATAAGGCGGCTGCCGCTGACTCATCACACGCCCTCTGCATCACGTGATTATTTCCAAGTATCTGAGCCAGGAACGCTGACTCGACTCTGATTGGCTGGCGGAAACTTCAACGACGTCAAGCTCCGGCCCGCAACTTTTTGCCCGGCCAGAATCCCCTGCTTTTTTCCTGCTCGTGTATAGCCTCCAACGGCCAATTTGCCAACACCCAGTTGAACAGAGAACCGGCAATCGAGTGGTCTCAATTATATTAAAATGAATACTGTACGTTGCAATACCCCCTAAGTTCGAGAATATCAGTAATACTAATCCTTAATGTGTGGTGTTCAGATTAGATCTACCTGGTACGTCTACCACATACACCCAGAGCAGCATGCCTTGCCAAACAGCTATCCCACCGTCACATAACCTTTTGGGCATATATTTCTACGGCATCTGACCGGTATTTCTATCTTATTACAAACAGGGTTGGCTGGGGCGCCCTCTGCGTCGGTACGTAACGCCATGCAAAAAGCCCTCCCTCCAATCTTCCCAAATAACATACCCCATTTAAACCGAATACATTTATCTTAATCTAACCGTTTCCCTCCCTATCTTCTCGCCACCCTCCACAGCCGGCGGCGGCGCATACTACTTTGCCAAAAAATCCATAAACGCCGACCGCGCCCAACGACACGAAGAAGCCCAGCGCCGCAAAGAGGAAGCCTTTCGAAGGGAACATTCCGCAAAGTCGCCGTCATCCTCCGGTGGGGGGTTGACAAATATGACCCGCGCGAAATCCGCGGCAGAGATGGACGATACGGGCAGTCCGAGTAGGGAAGCTGGACATGATCCTGCCGCAACGAGGCATGAGCCCGAGACGTCAGCGGAGAGGGTTGATGAGAAGGGGAAGTATGAAGCGGCAGAAAAATTTACATCAAGGAAGGGGAATCGGCTTTAAGCTTATTTTGGAGAAGTTTGGGAGTTTTTTTTTTTTTTTTTTTTTTTTTTTTTTTTGACCAATGGGTTTTCTGCTAACCTGCGCGAATGGGGAGGTGTGCCAAAGACACAAAAAAATGGAGATAGTCGTATGGACTGGAGACGTCTGGAAACATCTTGAGGTATGTGGCGGGCTTTGTGTGAAGTATATTGTAGAAAAATGTTGTACGATTAAATTGCTGGAACGATCCTTTGAAAATCCTCCCTTTTGTTGTACTGTACATACTCTTGTTTGGGAGGGGTAGTTAAAACAAAATGTTGATCACTTCGCAAATCCGACCCCAGTTCCCTAACGCCAAAATTTGAACCTGCTTCTTGTAAGTCGTTTCCACAGTCCATGCTAAACATTATGTCACAAAGAAATGAACCAGTCTGTCCAAATCTACCCCATTCGAAGTGCCCTTAGGTATATAAATATATAACCTAGAAACAACGATGCAGCAAATCGCTCATCCGGTTACGCCGTTTTCATAACCTCTCATTCTTAAACGGCTCTCGTTCCAAAACGAAATATTCCATTCCCCAACCAATCCCCGAATAAATACCCATGCTGGCGAAAAGGTAGGTCATTTATCATGATATGTAGTACGTACGTAGTGTTATCGGTATATTTATAGGTAACGGGCCAGTAGTATATATGTATGGATGTATGTATGGATTTCATGACGCCCTTTAGCGGGCATGAAAGCAGAGGGGGGGGTATCTAAGGGAAGTGCGCCGTTCATTAGCTTGCCATCCAGAGCTATTCAATAACTAACTATAAATCGGACTAGATATTTATTCAGGAAGTCCCAAAAGCAAAGGAGGAAGAACTGAGTGATGCAAAATAAAATCAACTCAACCTATTCGCATGCGGATTGCCTAGCTTCTTCTCGCGCGAACTCTGGATGGCGGGCGGGATAAAGGGGACCACGACTAGAGAGGTGATCCCAGACATTGTTAGGAGTCTGTGAGCGCGAGTCTCAGGCTTTGGTGCCCGGGCGGAGAATTGGCGGATTGGCACTCGTATCATCGTCGCGGAGGGGAAGGAAGGGAGGTGAGAGTGGTTGATTGCGCAGTGCGGGGTGGCGGGGGTGGCGGGGATTGACTCCCTAGTTGAGCATAGGCACTAGGAAGTGCAAGATGTCGGGGAGCTTGGGATGTGAATGGCCAGCTCTTAAGACGAGAGGGGGGAGGGAGGAGGGAAAGGGGCATCTGTGTTCGTTAAGGTGGAGGTTGATAGGATAATAGAGTCCGCAGGTCATTTGGGGTTGGTTGTTTGGAGGATCGATCTATATATAAGTAGTAATGAGGGGTTGGTAAAACTAGTTGATGATGGTAGGGCGATCCACGGCATCAGAAGGAGGTGGTGGAGTCATCCATCTTACGATATATAGCATGCTCTTCTGCCTCAACGATGGATGTGAATGGACCGAAGAACAGATCTTGGAGACCTGTGGGCTCTTTCGGCGTAACGGTTAACCTTGCACTGGACTAACTAATCTCAATAGCAGATCAACCCTTGCCGTGGGGCGGCCATCCATCGTAAGATATGCTCAGCATCCTTTTCCGGCGCCCATGAGCTCAAACTACTGCCCTGTCAAAAGCAATTTCTCACTAATTTTCAGATTCAAATACCATCGTTCGAAATATTGAGTGAAAAAAACCCAGGTGGCTGTGGGATCAGATCTATGATTAGTGTACTGTACTGGTTACCGGGTTTATGGAAAGAATTGACAATATCGGTTTAGTCTGGACTGGACTACTCTCCCCTACTCAGCATCAAGGAGATGAATATGCATAGTTTATCAATATGGAAAACTTGTTCTTGGAGTTTAAGACTTTTTGTCATTAGCAAAATATGATTAGTCTATATTTTCTATGTAGGTATACATCAGTTCATATCTATGGGTTCCGCTAAATAACATTATAATCATGAAAAGCATGACAAAATTGACAAAAAACAAAAACAAACCCGTAAAAGATTCATCCCCTCCGGATTCCCCTGACCACTTAACATATCAGCAAGTGACGTTATAAGTAACATACCAGCCAGTGTTGCTATTCTGAACAAGTGAAATCCGACCATTCGGCTTTCTTGGGATTCAGAGAAAGTCTAAATTTCCACTTCCTTGCAAGGGGTGCCTGTGATCGGGTGTCTATGTCCACCCGGGGTAGCCTGCCAGTTCTCAAAATTCGACAATGCAAGTTCCTTAAGCGTCCCATCCTCTTTCACAAGAGAGACGATAGCTTGCCCGTTACCGTCGACTGTAAAGATTCTTTAGGCAGGCACAGACCAGTCCAGCTCGCATTAGATCAGGGTGAGGCTGAGGACGAGAGGCCTGAGTGGTCTGAGCGGTAAATCCTCGTACCGCGGAGCGTAAGGCTGGCAATGCTGAGATAGCCAACAGTTAGGGGCGAGATAAGACTGTTCATTGGCGGAGGAGATGATTAAGACAATTTTTAGCCGTCGATACGTCCGCTGGTCCAGAGTTTTAGCGCGTTAGAGCTACCTACCTGGCTGAGCAGTTAGTCCAGATTTGTAAGGGGCATGTATCTCCAGCCCACAGAGGTAGCTCAACATTTCAAGGCATTCTGCAACGGGGTTCGGCATTCATAGTCAAGATGCCGATTGCTATTATTAGAATATGACACTTCAGACATATGTTTTATTCCCACAATAAAGAGGTGCGTGCAACAAGCAATCCCAGGTCCCAGCCAAGTTCCAAAGCGACATAAACATACATCAGTAAGCATATGCTGCCGCTGTCCCAAGACAGACAGTCCATCCGAATGCCTGTAGCAGCGAATGCCTCTGGGATTGGCACTCTTCCCGATCGGATGATAGTTGGATTTCGCCCAAATTATATGTCGTTATTCTAGCAATGTACTTCATCTCATCTGTGTGGTTAGCAACGCTATGTATGCCAGGCTGTTTCATGGATGGGTCCAGCAATGCCAATTCTTACAGTAAGCAGTCACCAGGGGAGTCAAGCTGATTGGTTCGTACAGGATCGCGGCGACAATAAAGCGAAAGTGTACTTTACAAGGCTTCGTTTTTTGAGATTGTTCCTTGTTCATGTTTTTAGTGACTCCTCCTGGGCCTACAAATTGTATCAGAAGCCGATATTTTCAGGATTGCCAGTTGCTGGCATCTGTTGAAAAATCCACAACAGCCACCTAACTTGCTTGATAACGAGAATAGCAGATGACTGCCCTCCAAATAAAACAAGAAGATCGGCCGCGAATAATTTGATGCGCAGCCCTCAGCCGTACGTTGAGCTCCATCGTTCAGCTCCAGCGTTCAGCTCCGATTTATCCTATCCGTCTCCAGGCTTCATCACAACTTTGACCCGGATCGGGTTGATGGTCTGAGTTTGACATTGCCCGGGCCCATTAACACCATGCGTCGATACTTTCTTCAATGAGGTTGTGTATTAGGAGAGTTCGCTGCACCACCCACAAAACACTGTTTCTCGGGAGCTAGGAGCGTTTCTGTCAACAGGCGTGGTTAGACGCCTGGCTTCAAAAACTTTCGCAATCGCATAAATGAGTTCTTCCGTTTCAACTGGCAGACTCTACAAAAGACGAAGCCAGGCTGTTGTTTCAATCTGGCCGAACTTGTTGAGGGTCCCGGGGGTTGATCGGCCCTTCTACCAGCAGCGCTGGTGGTGACTGAGCTCTTTTGCCCCAGTAGCCTAAAGAACTGTGGGATGGTTAATCCGTTGTATTCGTGTAGGAAGAGCTAGCTATATATATATTACATATGAGATCACGTGTAGGCGGAGCGGTCGCTACGGCAACGCCACTAGGGCGGATGCTACACCCCCTCTCGCATCGCCATGTGAGATCACAAACACCATAATAAAGAATCAATCATCTCTTGCAAATCTAGCTATGCCATCCTCAAATCCATCCAAATCATGCTACCTGCATTGAGTTTGTGTATTCTGTCTCTCTTCACCTGTAAAACCTAGTAAATCAAGAAATTGATGAAATGCAATTATGTTCAAGAGTTTAGTCAATTCATCTGCTACTATTTCTTCAGTTGAGATGTAATCAATTGAGATTATATCATTGTTCAACTGACTGTGAGTGTAATGAAATTGAGTGTTAATATGCTTACTTCTCACAGTGATTGCAGTCACTGTGACAAGATTAGACTGGCCGCCAGGACCATGAATTTCACGTTTGGTCCCATTTGGTCTGGTCTCATACATTTCTTGGCGTGAATCCCGCTGGGACTAGTCATTAAAAAAACATGCAAAGTGACCATATATGAGATCTTAAAATGGAACCATGACTTGAAAAAAATGAGAAAGTGATCCCATTTGGTCTCATTTAGTCTCATTCTTAGCATAAAGTTACTATTTTTAGACATTTTAAGGTTTTTTTTAGACTATTTTTAATTTTTTAAAAAGTAACACTTTTTGGTAACACTCAAATGAGATTTAAAGTCATTTAAAGCAATAAAAATAATTTAAATTGAGAAGTGGAAATCATGGTCCCATTTGGAAAATGTGACAAGAGTAGACAGTAAGTCCCACTGGGACAGTATGGGACTACTATTGAATGTTAAAACCGTGTAATGAGATCGGTCGAATTGGTAATGAAACTATCAAAAAATCTGGTTCTGGTCCCAGACACGGTCACACGGTCAGTCTAGACAAGATCAATCATCTTCTTATTATCTATCTTGATTGGCAGAGAGTCTTCTGTTTCAATAAAGCTCAGATTCATTATTATACTTCTCAACTATATTACTTTACATACAGCTTCACTCAATGCTATGTATTCAGCCTCATTAGAGCTTAAGAATACACAGAGTTGCTTGCTTAATTGCTATAAAATCAGCATGTTTCTCAATTTAAAGATGTAACTGAATGTAGATTTACAATCATTATTTAACAGACTAACTCAATTGAAATTTGTATATCTGACTGATATATATGTTATATTCAGGAATTCATTCTCAGATCTCTCATCATTATTCTTTATATAGAATATGTCAATCTTGTGTATTTCTTTCAAATATTAAATAATATGTAATAGAGTCTTTCATGTTTTAGAGATGAGAGCAGTGTTCTTCTGTACTAGTAGAGATACTGCACAGATGATATTCAGCTGCAGCTTGATAGCTAAGTATTACAGACACTCAATATTATACTGAAATTATTACTTTGTAAAACTGCTTTCTTTTTCAGAAATAAGAGAGTCATCTAAATGTAGATTTTCATTTATAAGTGTATAAATAGCAGTTATATTATCTAGATAAAAATCTTCTATCAATTCATTAATAT